TTTTCAATGGCTTTTCAGAAATATAGTTTTTAGATATGTAGCTTTAGTCACAAAAAAGTTATGGGCTATTCTACATATTTTTTTTCCAAATACCGGACTTTTTTCCGCGCTGTGCCCAACCCTATGCATTAAAAAAAATGTTACAAAAAATCCTTTAAATTACTATTTTCTGGAATTTTCAAAATGTGGCCTGCTGCTGTCAATATTACAGGGGATATTAGTTCCAAAACTAACTCTTGGCCCATTTCTAACACTCTGTGTTAGAAATGGATGAAAAAATAATAAAAAATACTTTTCTTGAAAACTGGTTTCGTCTTCGTAGGTTAGAATTTTGTCCAGGTTGTCTCCACACCCAAAGTACAAGACTCCTTGAAAGCCATAAAAAAAGATTTGAACCATCGAAATAATTTGGATAAACCCACGGCAAAAATACTGTATCTGTCAGGATTTTAATGTTTTGTTAACTGGAAGATTGGATTAAAATATAGACGTTTAAACATTACATATTATTGTAAAACTCATATCTAAACATTTAAATATACAGGGTGTCATATTGAAAAGTGCATAGTTCTAAATTTGGAGTTTTGCAGATTTAACTGAAAGTGAAACCTTTAAAAGATTTCATCATAAAACATTTATAAATCTGACAGTACACAGAAATCTCAGGGTTCTTTCTTGTATTTAAACAATTTTAACAACTTCATATTTCTTTTAAAAATTATCAATAGTTTTAAATTGTTCCTTTTTTATAGAAGCATGATTTTTGTTTGATAAAGCTAGTTAAATAATAAAAATGATGTTAACTTTTTATTTTATAAAATAAAGAATTAAATTTTCGGGTCTCCTCAGCTCAGATATCTGGACCCCGCCCCCAGATCCCTCTTGGCCAGAATGGGTTAAGAAAGTAACTGCTGTTTTTTTTTAAAGGTTTTATAATATTGTTTGCCTTCTATAAAGTATAAAGATAAAATTAGTTTACCAGGTGTATAAGTGCAAAGTTGTGAGATGAAAAACCAAAGAGATAAGGCCAAACATTTCAGGCTTATCTTCAGATCACTAAAAGGAGAAAAATAACACTTTGTCAATTTGTTCGTTCAGCGTTTTTTAACGACGCATTTTGTTTAGTTTTTTTTCTGTCGTTAAGAAAAAAATTAATTTGTTCGTTTTCAGAATTATCGTTAATTTTTCATCTATTTCGTTCGTTTATTCTATCTGAACAAGCGTTCAATTAAATTGTTCGTTCAGTGAGATCGTTGGTTCGGTAAAATCGTTCGTTCAATAAATCCTTTGTTCAGTAAAAAAAACGATTATATTTATAAACTTTGTTTTTAAAAAAATCGTTCGTTCAGTGAAAAAAAATATTTTTTTAAAAGTTTGTTTGCAAAAAAATGGTTCGTTCAGTAAAAAACAAGACTTTTTTTTCTAAAATTTATTTGAAAATTTTACTTGGTTTAGTAAAAAAAGCCTACCTTATGCTGCTAGAATCAACTATTGTTAAGTTAACGGCGGGTTCTGTTTTCCCTGATAAAATTCTTGAAATTATCATTTGTTTATGATAAATAAAACTGAGATTAAGCTTTACCCATTCAAACCTTTTTCCAATCTATAAGTATCTTATTTCTCCTCTCTGTGTTGTAGAAATCAACAAATTCTTTTCAAGAAAATTACATTCCAATTTCTATATTCAAAGATAGAAAAATAAAGAAAGATCCTTTATTGGTTCTTAAAGTTTAAAAGGAACATATTCCTCTCTTTTGAGGTTTCCTTAAAATGAGGAAATATAATAAGAGTTAATTTCTACATTTAAGAATTATATAATAAAGATATTACCTCCATTTTCCTTGCGGGGTAAAAAAAATGATATTTGATAGTTCAATATAATAAAATTAGAATGAGTATAAAATTCTAAGTTTATAATCATTATTCTATTTTGGTTAAAAAAGGAATTCTGATTAGGTTGGGAAGAAAATAATTTTGATGTTTCTTAGGCAAAAACTCTAATTTAATCATTTTGGCAGAAATATATATAATTTGAATTATTATAGCAGGAAATTTAAGGTTTATTATTTAGGTAAAGAACATGACTAGTTGTTTTAGTTGGAAAAATTAAAATTTATTATGCTGGCAGTAAAATATCGTTTTAGTTATTTTAGTAGGAAAAATTTAAGTTTTATTATGTTGGTTGAAAAAATACCTTTTCCTTAGAAACTACGAGTACACGTTTCTCTGGGGTAACAGTTGTCTGAGAAGTTGCATGTTTACGTCTACTGAATACGGTGGTTTCCAAAATAAAGTAGAAAAGGTATTAAACTCAGCATTACCTACCGGTAGAAGATACAACAAAGAACTATAAGGTTGTTTAGATCAAGGTTATAATGCAAGGAAAGTTAATCGCAGTTGCGTATACTCTGCCTACATATTGAAATCAGTTCTCTCTGGGCGGAATTTGTATACAAGAATAGATTCATCAGTGTTCGTTTAGTATCCGAGGAGGTTAAAAGCATTAAATTTTGATGATTTTGATAATTCACATAATAGTTTTCTATGACCAGAATATTTCATTGATTTTTTATGTGAAAGATAGATCCAATATCAGGCTTCGACATCCGTCTTGTGTTTAATATTTTGATGATTTTGATAATTCACATAATAGTTTTCTATGACCAGAATATTTCATTGATTTTTATGTGAAAGATAGATCCAATATCAGGCTTCGACATCCGTCTTGTGTTTACATTACCGCCGAGAGACAGTACACTGCAGTACAAAAGATGCGTACACCTCTGAAATAACTTTCCTTGCATTAGAACCTTGCTCTGAAATAACTTTCCTTGAATTTAGCCTTGGTTCAGATAAAAGTGTACTGTGTCTGTGTATAGTTTCCTGTAGAACTTGTGTTCATTTTCCTTTTAGTAATAAAAGTATATCTACATATATAGTGAACAAAGATCTTGGACTTCTTTGTGTGCATACTTTACACTCATAAAGGAATGTTTGAGTTCATGCTGCTTTTTCTTTGGACCACTGTATCCCTATCGGAGGAGTGTGTATTATCATCTGTATGTTGACCCCGTCGTCTGCTATGGGTCAGAGCAACCAGAAGAGCAACCGTGTCTGCAGTAAAACAGATCGCCTAAACAAGTTATTAAACAGATTTGAAGATGTAATGATCTTGAAGGGAATCGTTTGAGGCCTGTTTTTAAACATTCAAAGTTTTTCGGCTTTTTAAATGCTTCACAAGAATCTGAGATGCTTACAAATTCTAATTTAAAATTTCACAAGAATCTGAGATGCTTACAAATTCTAATTTAAAATTTCACAAGAATCTGAGATGCTTACAAATTCTATTTTAAAATTTCACAAGAATATGAGATGAAAACAAATTCTAATTTAAAATTTCACAAGAATATGAGATGCTTACAAATTCTATTTTAAATTTCACAAGAATATGAGATGCTTACAAATTCTATTTCAAAATTGCATTCTGGACAAGTTCATACTTTCATTACACAAAGCAAAATTTTTACTCGGATCAAAGTTATTGATTTTTCAAAAGGGAAACGATTTTCTAATAGTTTTAATCAGAGTAAAAATTTTTCTAGTATACAATTTTAAAAAGGATTTGCATCTCAGATTCTGGTAAAGCCTTTAAAAAGCCTAAAAACTTTGAATTTAAAAAAACGGGCCCCAAAGCGATTAGTCATGATTAGGATTAATAGGTTGTATTGGTCCTGCTTTTAACTTCCCTTGGAGTTAAACATAGCTTCATACAGTCATAGATTTAAACTAATACAGATAGAACACTATGTATCGTTACTTTCATTACACAAAGCAAAATTTTTACTCGGATCAAAGTTATTGGTCAAAACGATTTTCCAATAGTTTTGGTAAATATCTTTAACCAGAGTAAAAAATGTTCTCTGTGTAATAAAAGCAAACTTGTCTAATATGCAATTTTAAATAGGATTTGCATCTCAGATTCTGGTAAAGCCTTTAAAAAGCCGAAAAACTTTAAATTTAAAAAACGGGCCTCAAAGCGATGCCCTTCATTAGTCATGATTAGGATTAATAGATTGTATTGGTCCTGCTTTTAACTTCCCTTGCAGTTGTACAAAGTATTATACAGTCATAGATTTAAACTAATACAGATAGAACACTATGTATCGTTTTTTCAAATTTAGGGGTTTTCGTTCACAATAAAAGGAGTTACGGGCATGCTCTCTCTCTGTCTTTTCTTCCAACGGCCATGCGTGTAACTCCTTTGGGCTTCTGGCATCAGGGTTATTGTGAACGAAAAACCCAGAAATCTTGAAAAGACGACATCAAGTGTTCTATCTGTATTGTTATTAATCTGTGCATACAGTTAAACCCAGGACTTCGGAGAAACTAAATAAACTGTTGTTTTTTAAACCTCTTGATAATGGAATACTGCAGATATTTAGTTCTTATTAGATAAATAGAAGAGCTCATTAATACTGTTTGCGATTTCATGACTTTTTTATTTATTTTTACAATTACTGAGATTTAACTGTAATAGAAGATTTAGACTGGGAACTAGATAGTTTAGAGCTTTGCAAAAAGGCATATTCTCAAATATCCTTGCTGGTACAAAGTAAAATATGCTGATGTGTCTACTGAAGATCTACTCTAAACCTGTATATCGTTTATGGGCTGCCTACTGAAGTATGCCTCTGTGTGGTGAGGCACTGGCCACTTTAACGGTCAACCAGACCTGTACACTTGAACAAGTGTAGAAAACCTGTCTTAGAGTAATACTTAGTAGTGAGTACAAAGGATTATGAGACTGCACTTGAAACGTCCAAGCTTGATACTTGATAGAAGTTCGAAGAGAAAAATTGTGTCTATCTCATGAAAACAAATGTCTGCTAAACACAAACCAGATCTTCATGATCATAACCTTACAGAACAGAACCAATTCACAGTTGTTCATGCCAGGTTGGAGAGGTTAAGAAGATCATGGATACAAAGACTACTGAATAATAGATAAACGTACATAAATGTGATTTTAACATTATAGAAATCTATAATCTAAATCTTATTGTATTCCTAAATGAACTTTAATCCTCGGACTTTTATCATAAACTATTTTGATGACTCTGAAGTTCTGGCTTAACCTGTAGTAGTTAGACTCTTTTAGATATTCAAGAGTTTATGAGTTCAAACTGAGTTCTAAATAATTTAAAGGTTACCAACAGACAAGCGAATGGTAGAGTTAGGAAGTAGATAAACTGCTGTGTTGAGATTAGGTAGAAATGATCCATAGCATCCAACCCAAGGTTTTNTAGTTTAAACCTTTTTTTTTTAAAACTTATATTAATTGATTTAACATAATTTATAGTCTGAAATATCGAAGATATAGGGATTAAAAAATTAGACCTATAAGATGATTTATGTACTAGAACTTGGTGTAGATATATTTGAACCTTTAACGGGAGTGTTGGAGAAATTTCAAAAGTTTACATTACCCTTTAAACCTTTGTCATAGCAGAGCAAAGAAAATATCCTGGTTTTTTAAATGTAAAACTTGATCAGTGACTATACGCATTTGTAAACAACAGATACAAGGAAGAAAATTCTGAAGAAAAAAGGCCGCAGGATATACAGGGTGTCCCAAGAAACATGACAGTTGATAAATAGTTTTGAATGTCGTCTTATATATACTGTATTATGATATCAAAGGTTTTTGGCAGTTTATTTCGTTAAAAAAAATTTTTGCTCAAATATATTTTACTTTGAAATCAAGTTTACTATAATACATACTCCCATATATTAATATATTTTTATTATTGTCTTTGGTATCAATCAACTTAATAAATTATGGAAGAAGACATTCTAAACTGTTCACCAACAGTCATGTTTCGTGGGACACCCTGTACATAGTTTCTTCAGATTGACTTTTTTTAAAGCCTACTTTGCACATACAGTCGTCCACCTACTTTAACTTTTACAATTCCTGAAAGAAAAACCACAAAATTCTCCTAGTCCTGGTATTTCCAAAATGTTGTCTGCCATTTTTGTGCTGTCAATATTATCGGAGATAAAAAGAGCTTAAAAAAATCGGATCACATTTTGGAAATGCCATCCATGATTAGGGGTATTTTGTGATTAGTAACTCTAAAAGGAATTGAGTCTTTGCCAAATCTTAGATTTTCTAATTTTGCAAAAACCTTATTTTCTGCAAACTCAGTTTATTTGCTTAACACAATTCATTGTTTGAAATATCTAATGTCTACGGCATTGGGTTGCAGAGATAAAGGGCCTAGAAAATCTGAGTTTTTGTGACAAAAACTAAATAGTAAATTCCATTTACTTCTAAAATAAGGTTGACAAATAAATACGGAAAATTAGATCAAAAATCAAAGACTACGATCAAATTGTCTTGCTACTGTCATGTTTCCTGGGACACTCTGTATGTCTTGGTTCATCTTGCCTAGTGCCATTGTTGTTGTTTTACAATGTTTTACAATTCTATTAGCATAGTATTTACTAAACTTTTTGAACTTTTAGGTGACTGAATTTAAGAATTGGTATTCATTTTTATTTGACGTACTAAAGATCATACAATCGTCGTTATATATAAATAAAATTAAAGACGACTTTTGTTTCTATCAAGCTTTCAAACAGCATGGATACACATAAACATGGAAACAAAGAGAAATTGGCAATCAACTCCTTCTATTGTAAACTTGTAATTTGAAAAGTTAAAAATTAAATAGAAATTTCGTCTTCATTTTATTGATATAAACGCCAACCATTGTATGAGATATTTAATAAAAGTAAGAATATTACCGATGGTAGCGAGCATGATGGAGAGGGCTAATGCAAAGAAACAGATAAACCTAGCTTTGCCCGGTGAAGCGTGTATGTGGTACTGCAGTGGAGATATAATAGCAATAAATCTAGATGAAAACATGGGAGTTAATTACCGCTTTAGGACTTTTTATGAAAGGTCTAACACACTTAATTACGATGAAACTAATCATACAGAGCGTCCCATATCATATTAGACTTTCTCCCATCTTTAACGCCAAAATACTCATATAATACTCGAAAAATCTAGCATTTTCTGCAAGAAAAAATTTCTACTGCCTTATTGAATTTTTCAAAATGAAATCATTCTTTTTAAATTTTCTGATTTGTCCCCCAAATCGTAGTTTAGACCCATTGACGCGATCTAATTTGATGTGGGACACCCTGGATGTAAAATTTGTGGTACACAAAATTTAAGCACCGTGGACTAAAAATTAAAGCACTGTGGTCTAAAAATTTAAAGCACCAGACAAGGCAATAATGGTCAAACAAATTTGGAACATCCTGGTCTGAACATTTAAGAAGCAATACAACATTTGTGCAAGAGTGGTCCTAAAAAATTAAAGCACCGTGATTTAATTAATAAGTGGTTCATGGCTAAAGAAGTTTAACACCTTGATCTAAAAAATAAACCGACTAATATGGTTTTCCAACCTAATTCCGTGTTACGGATTATTTGCAAAATTATCCCGAATTTTTTTCCATCTGCATTATGGAAAATGGTCCAGAATCAATCAAATCTGGACAATTTTTTCCGTAAACCGAAAATTTCCTAAACCATGTGTTCTGGAATTCCGGAACATATTTCGATTTACGGATTGTGGACCGGAATATTTCCAGTTTCCGGAATATTCGGACCATTCCTTTTCAAAAATGGAATTTTCACCCCGTGAAAGTATAAGCCCACAGCACTGAGGACTAAAAAAATATAGCACCACAAGAAATGTATAACCTGTCCAAGCTTGGTAATATATCCGAAAGTAGGAGGAGGTATCGATTGAAGATCAAAGTGTAAAAAACTGAAAAAGGAAAAGAATATTTTTTCTACCCAGTTTTTCCTCGAAATAAACAAAAAAAGGAGATTACCAATTATACGTTATTTTCCAAATGAAGTATGCATTTTATTTTTTCATTACAGGAAAATTGAAGAACATTAAAGTTGAGACAGANTATGCATTTTATTTTTTCATTACAGGAAAACTGAAGAACATTAATGTTGAGACAGAAACCGGATTTTATAAATTGTGAAAGGTAATTTTGTGGATCTGAATTGGCAACTTTTATGAATCTTGTCAATTTGTTAAATTGATATCGTTACAAATATGTAGATCTCAAATAAAAGTATAAGGTTTAGTTTATATAAACTCTCTTAAATTGATATCTTTACAAATATGTATGCATCAAAAAAAGGGTTTCGTTCATAAAAACTCTCTTAAATTTGTATCTTCACAAATATAAAGATCTCAAAAAAAGAATAGGGTGTCGTACATAAAATTGAGCATTTGTTACAAAATCAAATATTCTCATTTCTCTATCTTTTCAACCTGCAGTGGTGTAAACCTATGATATTTACCTAAACAAAATCATAGGTTGCAATATCTAGGGTTTACAACATTGAGTTGTAAAGATATAGGAATTATAAAATCAGAGTTTGTGGTAAATATTCAATTCCTTTCCGTTTTCATACCTGATCTAGGGCAGTAGGGTATAATTCTTGAACTGGTGAATCCAAAACATATCCCGTACAGACCGACACACACACTTTTCACAACAATAATAATAATGATAATAATAATAATAATAACAATAATAATAATAATCATGATGATGATAAAAAAGTAATAATATTAATAATATTAATAATCATAGTGGTGTTGGGTCATTTCAAAGAAAGACATTTCATAGTTATGGACATTTCATCGAAGGACATTTCATAGAAAAGTTATTTCATAGAAAAAAATTCATAGATAGGACATTTCATAGATTGAACATTTTATAGATAGGACATTTCATGGACAGAGTAGATTTTTCAAAGATAGATAAAATCAAAGACACAAAAGCAATTTTTTTAGTGACAAGGTATGTAAAAAATATGTCACAATTTAAAAAAAATTACGATCAGTTTGACTAACAAGAAATAACAGTTATATAATAACAATGATAATAATAATAAATATGATAATATTGATAAAGGATAGAAAATGCTGAATTAAAGATGTTTTATTTTGTTGATATCATGTTAAAAAAACTAGAATCTTTGTAAAGTTTCAAATTATTTCATGACTGCAGACAATATTAATACAAGTCACGACATATGATCCATCATATTTCTAAGTAGATTGTATGTGAAAATATTTTTCATCAATAATGATATCAATAATTAAAGTGGTGTTGGGTCATTTCAAAGAAAGACATTTCATAGATTGAACATTTCATGGACAGAGTAGATTTTTCATAGATAGATAATTTCAAAGACACAAGAGCAATTTTTCTAGTGACAAGGTATGTAAAAAATATGTCACAATCTTAATAGGTCTTTGAAAAGTAAGACTAATACCAATCAACAGCGAAAAGGCTGTTTAGTTTACCCTGAAATTACCCAAATAAGTGAACTGTCCCTTTAAAATTGTAACATATTTTTTTACATACCTTGTCACTAAAAACTTGCTTTTGTGTCTTTGAAATTACCTATCTATGAAAAATCTACTCGTCCATGAAATGTCCTAGTTTTGAAATGTTCAATCTATAAAATGTCCTTTCTATGAAATGATAATAATAATAGTAGGTATAATAGAATTAAATGTTCAATCTATGAAATGTCCTATCTATGAAATGATAATAATAATAGTAGGTATGATAGAATTAATACTAATAATATGTAATTACAATAATGATAACAAATTAGGAATGATATAAAAGAACAACAATTATATCAAAACAATAATAATAATAATTAAATATGATAATATTGAAAAAGGAAAGAAAATGCCGAATAAAGATTTCTTATGTTGTTGATATCATGTTAAAAAAAACTTGAATCTTTGTAAAGTTTAAAATTATTTCATGACTGCAGACAATATTAATACAAGTCACGACATATGATCCATCATATTTCTAAGTAGATTGTATGTGAAAATATTTTTCATCATATTTTCGGATAATTAAAATTGATTTTCGAGATCAGATCATCAGGCTTTATCTTGATTCCAGGATATCAGGTAATCAGGCTCTATCCAGATCCTATGAAATTAGGGAATCCAGATTTATCTAGATTACAGGAAATTAGGGAATTAGGCTATATCTAGATTCTAGGAAATCGGGATTTATCTAGATTCTAGTAAATCAGGGAATCAGGATGTATCTAGATTCAAGGAAGTTATGGAATCAGGCTATATCTAGATTCTAGGAAATCGGGATTTATCTAGTTTCTAGGAAATCAGGGAATCAGAATGTATCTAGATTCAAGGAAGTTATGGAATCAGGCTATATCTGGATTCTAGGAAATCGGGATTTATCTAGATTCTAGGAAATCAGGGCGATTCCCTATTCTATATCTAGGTTCTAAGAAATAAAGGTACTCAGGATTTATCTAGATTCTAGGAAATTAGGGAATCAGGCTATATCTAAATTCTAGGAAATGAGATAATCAGGATTCATCTAGATTCCAGGAAATCAGAAAATCAGGCTATATCTAGAATATAGGAAATCATGGAATCAGGATTTATCTAGATTCTAGGAAAACAAGGAACCAGGCTATATCTAGATTATAGGAAATCAAGTAATCAGGAGTTATCTAGATTCTAGGAAATTAGGGAATCAGGCTATATCTAGATTCTAGGAAATAAGGTAATCAGGATTTATCTAGATTCTAGGAAATCAAAGAATCAGGCTATATCTAGATTCTAGGAAATTAGGAAATCAGGCTATATCTAGATTCTAGGAAAACAGGGAACCAGGCTATATCTAGATTCTAGGAAATCAGGGAATCAGGATTTATCTAGATTCTAGGAAAACAGGGAATCAGGCTATATCTAGATTCTAGGAAATCAGGTAGTCAGAATTTATCTAGATTCTAGGATATTAAGGAATCATGCTTTATCTAGATATTAGGAAATCAGAAAATCAGGCTCTATCTAGATTCTAGGAAATATGGAAATCAGACTATATCTAGATTCTAGGAAATCAGCAAATCAGGCTATGTCTAGATTCTAGAAAATCAGGAAATCAGGCTATATCTAGATTCTATAGGAAATAAGGAAATCAGGCTATATCTAGATTTTAGGAAATCAGCAAATCAGGCTATATCTAGATTCTAGGAAATCAGTATGTATTTTAAGGCTGTGCCTGGATTACCTGAAAAGTGAGGATATAAGGCTGAGTGCCTGGAATATATGCCTGGGTTTGTTAAGTTTCCTGTTTATTAGTATAGCAAGGATTACTACTATACTAAGCAGAGAACTAAATATTATCCAAGGAGTTGATATTATCATCAGTATCCGCTCCTCCATCTAAATATGTTATCCAGAGTCCGAATTTAATTAATTTGAGCCGTGTCTAAAATCCTCCAAAAGCCGGTTTCAATTGAGCGCCGGCTTAAATCTTGAAACACTGAACACAATTTTAAGTGAAACCAACCATATTTGAGCTGCGGCTCAANATCGATGAAAGCCAAAGCAGAACCGTAGATTCGATTATTTCAATATTATCATTATCTTGCTGTTTCTATAATTTTATTCGTAGATTTCATCAAAATGTAGTCATAACAATTAAATACTTTGAAAGATTAGTGTCTGACGTTGATTAAGTTTTTTTAACTTTCTTAAAAAGGCATTCTCTCCACTTTAGGCCTAAACTAGGTCACCTTTTAAATTATTTTGATGGGTCCTCGTGAGGCATGCTTGAACAACTTGAATGCATAGTTCTTTCTTTGCAAACTAAGTACTGTGTATGGTTAATTTTACTGAACCAAATTAGATTGATGGGTTAACAGCCCCCCCCCTTCCCCCAGGGTTAAAGAAAGATGTATCCTCCCATTTTACAAACTTGACATACCTGCTCAGACCCAGCCCCCATATGGCGTCTGAAAACTAAGTCTGTGTATGGTTAATATTTTACTGAACCAAATTAGATTGATGGGTTAACAGCCCCCCCCCTTCCCCCAGGGTTAAAGAAAGACGTATCTTCCCATTATACAAACTTGACATACCTGCTCAGACCCAGCCCCCATATGGCGTCTGAAAAGTTACAAAATCATCTGTTTTTAAATTCAATAGCTGTTTGTCCTATTAGTCGTTTTTACTAAAAAATACAAGCATAATTAATTGAATGATTTCTTTGGAAATTATCTTTAATGATTTTTTTTATTTAGGGAATTGTAATGTTGATTAATAGAGAGTTGGTTTAGGACTTGAGGAGAGACTATCTCAAACTTTTATTTATACAGATTGCAACCTCCTCTCTCTTCTTTATACATATTGCAACCTCCTCTCTCTTCTTTAGACTCTCAATGATTTCCTGGAGGACAAATTATTGAACTCCTCCCCCTCTCATTTTTTAATGAAGAAAAAAATCTAGGTACCACTGTAGCACATTTCATCGTTTTTTTTTTATTAAATTTAAATCAGTTTTCACACTCAAAAAAAATAATCTGGGTCTCCGTTAATGAGTACTTTAACAACATTGAAAACATCCTACTCATTCAGTAAAAATTCCATCTTTTTATCATGTTGATAAAAATATGGAATGGGAATAAAAAAAAATATGCAGTTTTAAAAACTCATAATCTGCACCCCTGCCCTAGAAGGAAAAACAGATTTGGAATTGTATAGTGATGCCATTAATTGGCAATATCGAAATTGTTAAATTTAACAATGATTAATATAGTTGAGTGAGGTGAGGTGAGATGTAAACTCATATAGAAGTAGAACAACAAATTTATTCTAATCAGTACTAATTATGTATAAGAAAGTTAGGGGAATTTTCTTTACCAAGGGTTCCCAAGACCAATTTTTCCCGCAAAACATCCAGAGAGCAGCGAGGGATGTTTTGTCGGCAAAATTGGTCAAGGAAGCCCGCATTTATTTGTCAATTTAATTTCCCAAAAAAAGGAGTTGTACACTTCTTTATTGTCTTTCAATTTGTTTTTTCACCAAAACTTCTCAGAGCTGGTCGTTATTTTAATCTAATTGTTTCAAGGGACGAAATACGAAAAAAGTAGCAAGACGATTTGAAGGTCGTCCTTAATTTTTGATACAATTTGTATAGTTTGCTGCATTTATTTGTCAACCAATTTTTGAAGTAAAATTATAGAGGTAATGATTTTAAATTATCCCTAGTCCTGGTATTTCATCATTCTTTAATTAAGAAAGATGTAGCACATTTGATTTAATGTTTTTTCTATTTATTTCATACAAATCTCACCTTGTTTTTAAAATTCTCCAAAAAAAGTAAACAGGAGATTTTCCCGAACACCAGAAAAAAAAAAATTAAATGGGTCTTCGTTAGTGAGTACTTTGTACAACATTTAAAGCATTCTACTCATTCAGTAAAAAGTCCATCTTTTTATCATGTTGATACAAATATATATGGAATGAGAATAAAAGAATAAATATGCAGTTATAACAACTCATAATCTGCACCCCAGCCCGAGAAGGAAAAACAGATTTGGAATTTTATAGTTATGTAATTAATTGTCAATATCGAAATTGTTAAATTTAACAATGATTAAGAGAGTTGAGTGTGGTCAGATGTGAACTCATATAGAACAAATTATTCTAAACTTCAATATAATAATCCTAAATATTTACTTTATAGGGAAGTTAAGGGAATTTTACTTTACCAAGGGTTCCCAAGACCAATTTTTCCCGCAACACATCCATAGAGCAGCGAGGGATGTTTTGTCGGCAAAATTGGTCGAGGAAGCCCGTGGTTAAGTACAAAAATTCAATTTCCCAAAAAACTTGTACACTTTATCGTCTTTCAATATGAAACTGAGCACATTTTGTTCACCAAAACTTCACAGAGCTGGTCGTTATTTTAATCCAATTGTCTCAAGGGACGGTAAATACAGGGTGTCCTAAGAAAAAAAGGAGCAAGACGATTTGAAGGTTGTCCTTAATTTTTGATTCAATTTGTATAGTTTGCTGCATTTATTTGTCAACCAATTTTTGAAGTAAAATTATAGAGGTAATGATTTTAAATTATCCCTAGTCCTGGTATTTCTAAAATGCGATCTACCTTTTTTGTGCTTTCAATATTACCTGAGATATGAAGAATTTCGTTCAGATTTGATCAGACTTCGAAATTTTGTTTTTATTTAATAAGTTGAAATTGTAACGAAATTCTTTATATCCCCGCGGTAATACAAAACAGCATAAACAAAGGTAAGAACACATTTTTAAAATGCCAGGACTGGAAGAATTTTGTGGTAATTGTTTCAAGAATCATACATGTTTCGTGGGACACCCTGTAACTTAACGTTTCGGAATTATAGATTGGTAATTTTGTTTAGAAGTGGGTAAACTATTTGACTGTTATCTATTAATTTATTTCAAGAATAAAGTTACAAAACATGTTTAAACATGTATCTACTTCCCCAGGTTAGCCAGGCCTAAAATAAATACAAGTTTAGTAAAATATTGATCGATATGGAGATAAATTCGGGTTTAAACTGTTTTATTTGTAAGATCAAGAGATAAAATAAAATAGTAAAAAAACTTATGATAATAGTTATAACAAAAAGTTCGGAATTTCGCTGTGGTTTCGGAAGTTTTTATGAAGAACAAAAAATTGCTGATTCACCTGCCAACGGATTATCTATCCCTCTCATAACTGGTAGTCCTGACCTCACATTATTCCTAAACAAAATAAAAACAATTTAAGTAGTTTTGGTGAATAACTTTTATTTTAAATTACCTAAACAGTACGAAATAAACTCCTCCAGACACCGCCATTCCTAGGAATATCATTCCAAAAGCAAGACCTGCCATTGCACCTACAAACGAAATATATTTAAAGGGAGTGACTATATGAATATGTTAGTTGAGTTAAAAGTGCAGTATTTAAGAAAAACAACTTTAGGATTCATTTGATACCAATGAAATTTTCTCTAATAACCCGGACAAAACTATTTTTTAGACTAATTTGCTGTTTAGGAACATATTTCTTTAAAATAATTATCGATGAAAGCCAAAGCAGAACCGTAGATTCGATTATTTCAATATTATCATTATCTTGCTGTTTCTATAATTTTATTCGTAGATTTCATCAAAATGTAGTCATAACAATTAAAATACCTAGGTAACATCCCATAAGCGACCTTAGATGAAAGAATTAGCTTAAACCTGCGAGGTTTTAAAATGAATTTTAATAACTTTCAATGACATATGTTTATTAGTTTTCTCAACCTGTTTGTATACATGCAAATAGTCGGTGGAATAGTATTTTTTACATGTTTTATCCATGTTATTAAAGAACTGTAAAAAACATCTTCTGTGGACTAGGGTTTCCAGCGAAAAAGGTAAATCGTTTCACGAAAATTTCAATGTTTTCGAATATCGTTCGCTCGCGAAAAATGTGAAAATTTTCGCTTTTTCGCAAAATTTAGCTTTAATCTGTTTTGCGAAAAAATGCGGAATTTTCGCGAACTACAAAATGTGTCAACTACTCTACCTGTTGTATACACTATGTTTCTACTACTCTACCTGATGTATACACAATGTATCTAACACTGTCTACTCTACCTGATGTTTAAACACTGTGTCTACTACTCTACCTGATGTATACACTATGTTTCTACTACTCTACCTGATGTATACATTATATGTCTACTACTCTACCTGATGTTTACACTATGTGTCTACTACTCCACCTGTTGTATACATTATATGTCTACTACTCTACCTGATGTATACACTATTTATCTACTACTTTACCTGATGTATCCAATATGTGTCTACTACTCTACCTGATGTATACACTATGTGTCTACTACTCTACCTGATGTATACATTATATGTCTACTACTCTACCTGATGTTTACACTATTTATCTACTACTTTACCTGATGTATACACTATGTGTCTACTACTCTTCCTGATGTTTACACTATTTATCTACTACTTTACCTGATGTATCCACTATGCATCAACTACTCTACCTGATGTATACACTACGTGTCTACTAATCTACCTAATGTATACACAATGTATCTAGCTACAACTCTACCTGATGTATACACTATGTATCTACCACTTTACCTGATGTACACACTATGCATCTAGCTACTACTCTACCTGATGTATATCCTTGTTGATAATCAACATTAGTTCCTCCTCCTCCACCTCCCCCGCCCTGGCTGTCAACCTCGTGAAGACTGTTAGGAACAGCTTTATATCAGGATTTCAAGTTCAAACTCAAGGTAGTAAAGTACTCAGAAAGACTGTTATTGTATTGTAATGTAAGAAGTTTGCCTGGTTCTCCAGAGCTGAAAACTATAGAATTAGATACCCTTAACACCGATCGCTTCATCTTTATATAAACTGTTGATTAAAGATTAAATTTATCTTAAAATTAATAAAGAAACAGATCAAGCATTAACCTCAATTTCCACAATTCTAAAGTTTTCAGTTCTGGATAACTCTAAGTTTTATAAATCCAAGGTTTAAATTGCGTAATATTTGCATCCAAATTTGTTTCTTCTAAAATTTGGTATCAATCATCTATCGTGTTGATGGATGATTGAGGTTAGACGTTTCTGATTACGGAGTTACAAGTACAATTGATGAGAAAACTGGAAAATTAAAACTATAATTTTCCTAAAAGAACTAAGAACTTGCAAATTTCCTGTAATATTCTTGACACTATTGTCAACTCCGAGTAGTAAAAGAACAAATGTACCACTGTTCACTGATGATGTGAGTGATTCTTTTATATCCTAAATAATACAGTAGAACAACAAGCTTTACATAAAATTAAATAAAGGAACTATATCCACGTTATTTTGAATTAACCCTCAATTCGAAGCATTACTTGCATAATTTACAACGTTACCCTTGAACCCTTTTCTCTCATTCAGAATAGGGAAGATATTGAAATTTTTTGGCAATAAAAATATGGGAATTTTGTTAAATCCCTTCTTTTCTCTATAGCACAAATCCGCAAGTTACTTTCAACGTTAGTCCCAATTAAAAATTATATTTAGAAAACTGGAATAAGCTCGGACAAAGGTGTAAAGTGTACCATTGTGAATCGGACATATCTGCAGCTCCTTAAATGGAGGGTCACTTGATATTAGTCGACAGACTATTTAAGGTTGGTTTAAATGATTAGATGTTGTGTAATCTATTAGTTTACCCTATTAGGTGTTGTGTAAACTCTTAGTTTACCTTATTAGGTATTGTGTAATCTATTAGTTTACCTCATTAGGTGTTGTGTAATCTATTAGTTTACCTTATTAGGTGTTGTGTAATCTATTAGTTTACCTTATTAGGTGTTGTGTAATCTATTAGTTTACCTTATTAGGCGTTGTGTAATCTATTAGTTTACCCTATTAGGTGTTGTGTAATCTATTAGTTTACCTTATTAGGTGTTGTGTAATTTATTAGTTTACCTTATTAGGTGTTGTGTAATCTATTAGTTTACCTTATAGGTGTTGTGTACACTATTAGTTTACCTTATTAGGTGTTGTGTTATCTATTAGTTTACCTTATTAGGTATTGTGTACTCTATTAGTTTACCTTATTAGGTGTTGTGTAATCTATTAGTTTACCTTATTAGGTATTGTGTAATCTATTAGTTTACCTCATTAGGTGTTGTGTAATCTATTAGTTTACCTTATTAGGTATTGTGTAATCTATTAGTTTACCTTATTAGGTGTTGTGTAATACCTTATTAGGTGTTGTGTAATCTATTAGTTTACCTTATTAGGTGTTGTGTAATCTATTGGGAGTTCGTTGGCCCCTATATCAAAGGGTGGAGGTCCAACTACAGTAAATATTAATTCAAAACTGTTCTTTCCTTCCAGCACAATCGTCTAGAAAAAAATATTAATTTTCAAATTGAGAATTTTTGAACTGCTGCCCAAACTGCAGCTGCCTTATTTTTAATTTCTTTGATAATTTGATAATTTTTTTTCTTGCAAACTTTGTAGAAAAATATAAGATCGAAATAGAAATAGCACCAACGGCATTATCGGTTTTAGCCAGCTCTAAATCATTAACTATAAATGGAAATGTGATTTAGCACAAAGTTTTTATTTTATTTTTGAATGGGTCTTTCAAGTAAATTTTTGTTTGTATAGAAAATTTTTAATTTGCAAATCTTGTATTTTTTATAAGGCACCAAATATTGCCATTTTACTTCTCTTTAAAAAACCAAAAATATTCCCTTTTAAATGATTTACCTCTATTTTTTGAATTCTAATTGGAGCAACATGTCCATGGTAGGCTACTAGGAGATTTGTTACTTTTATAAACTCTTGAATTCCAACCTAAAGTATTCACATATTTCTATCTGAATAAACATGTACACAAGAAATATTTGTTAATTATAAAATAAATCCAACGGAGAGGTTTGTTCTATACACAAACCAAGATGTGCAGTATTTTGCCAATTACTTCTTTAAAATTAAGCCAAAACAAGCGCGTTGCCTTTTTGAAATGTATTATTAACTTGTTGAGGTAAAACCAAAGGCCCAGGAGTTTAAATTCAAGACTGTTTAAAATTGATGACTAACTTTCAGAGTTGTCTAGATCTCAGTGATAGTTAATATTTAATATAATCGACTTCTTCTCAACTTCCTGTCTAAATTTAAAAAGTGTAACCTACCTTTAATTTAAAAAATACTTTTTGGGGACATGATCATTCTTTTAAAAGTTCTAACCTCTAGATCTATCTCATTAGAGAGTGGGAAGCGAACAGCCAATCTCATTTTTTCAGTTTCCTCGTAACACGCTGATATATCAAAATCCTTAGATATATACAACATAAAAATCAAGAAAGTAAATTCATAAAAAATCTTTCCGTTTTATGCGGAAAAATCTTTATATTTTAAAAATTTCGAAGCCATAAAAAATGTTTCCTACATTTAAAATTAATCAAATTTTTATCCGAAACAAAAATTTTTAATCGGAAAATTTTCGATAATATTAGCAAAGCACTTTATTTTTTAAAAAGCATGTGAAAAAAAACACATTTAAATCAACTTTAAATTATGGATTTGTTTCATGTTTGTTTCACAATTTTTTAAATATCTTCGAAATTTGTAAAATAGATTTTCAAACTTTGGCATTGGTTGCAAGTGAGCAACTGTCGGCTGACGCAAAAGAGGTTTTATATTTTAAAACGTGTTTTTATTTTATTTTGTTTGAAATATGTATAACACTAACCTGGAATCCATCATAGGAAGCTTTAAATTGATAAATGTTATAAACCGTCCAGACGTGTTTATTATTGTATTGCTGAAAAAAATGTTAAAGTGATTATCTTTTCCATTTGTACTTTGTAAAGTACAAATTTCAATTGAGATTTGTTTTTAAATTTTTGTTATACAAAATTTATCGACTAGTTTTTTTCTACTATTTTTTCCCGCAGACCAGCGAGTTTTTCTAGATCCGGGTTCGATATCCCAAAAATAACCGTTCAGAATTACAATTTTAAACTATTATCTAAAATATATTACATTTGAAGGATATTGAATGATTTTAAGAGGAACAGCATCTTCCCCTGCTCCCGTCTCTCCGTTTAAGTATCTTTTAGCTGCAGTGTACACTACCGTCGTGTAGTTCATATCTAAAATACAAAGGCATTGAGTCTTTGCCACAAACTCATATTTCATGATTATAACTTTGCAAGTGGGGGGAGGGATAATTCTTCTTAAAAATTTTAAATTTTAAGTTTACAACATAGATACATTTTTAAAATGAGAAGGTCTTGAAGGGGCTTTTTAGGTGGCACTGTGCCTTATCTCAACGTCAAATGAGTTGAACTGTCTCAGACCAATACTTTTTAAGTCATGTCCAATCTATGATTATTACAGTGCCGGGAAACCCGGAGAGCTCAATATCTGGCTGTCTGGTCCAGGTCCCTGAAAACTTTAGATTTATGCGGCGTATGATACGATGAAAGTTAAAAAAATGAAGGAGAGGTGAATATTTCTGTTAGGGTTCTGAGACACCCTGTAGGGGGGGGGGGAGGGCGTCACAGCTGGAATAGGGTTAACTAATAGTGTTGATTAAATTCTTCAAGATTGTTTTTTATCTAGCTTTTTGTAGTACCTTCACTAACTTTATATGTTGAAACAAAGGTGTCCATCATAATACCACGGTCATAATACTAAAATATTAAAGTTACTACAGTGGTCCACAAAATGATATGAACAAAAATTCAACTGCAAGTAAATGTTGTAAATAGTTGATCGCTTAAGTTTTCGAAAATTTTCATTAAACAAATTTTCGCGGAAAGTAAAATTTTCGCAAAAATATTTCCGGAAAATTTTTTTTTCGCGGAATTTTGCTTTGTTTTCGCATTTTTCGCTTCATTGAAAATGCGAAATTTCGCGAAAAAGTTTGCAAAAAGCGTACAAATAAATTTGCATTTTTATTTTGCATTTTCGCGAAATGTTTCGTTCGCTTAGATTGTGTGATTCAACATAATTCATAGTCTGAACAATCTAAGGTCTACAACATCGGGTTGAAAAGATATAAGAATTATAAAATAAGAGTTTGTGGCAAAAACTCAATTCCTTTAGGATTGCTTATTTTTATCATGATTTTAATATATTTTATATATAAAATATTAGGCCAAACTGAATTAAATGAAAAAATTTCGAAGAAATGAAGTTTACAACCAATTCGCTTTCCTCAGAAAAAAATATTAACGAAAAATAAAACTCTATAATAAAAATAAAAGTTTTAAAACAAGGTTCTCTTAAAATAAAAGTTTTAAAACCTGGTTCTCTTAAGATAAAATTAATTTGAAAATTACCTCTCCGTTATATGCAAACTTGTGATCCAAGTGGAAATATGTAATAGGATTTCCCATGATAATATGTCCATTCTCATCTTATCATTTTCATTAAATTACAATTCAAGGAGCTTCGTACCCTCCACCAACACTTAGAGACAGAGTAATTAGTGAACGTTTCGGCCACAGACCATGTTGATGTTTAATAACTTTAGCATAGATAGTTTCTTTTTGTTCAGTTCAACATGAGAAATTGTAATGTGTCAAATGAAAAAATTTATTTTAATGATTTATTTTCCTACAGTAACATCTCCTGGCAGAAACGGGTCTCGTCCGAGCTTTTTTATCGTACAGTTTCCATATGTCTAGAATAGCACACTTGTAAGCAGATTAAATAAATACGTTGTTGTATTTTAACCAAACACATAATTTTAATTAAAAAAAAAATAAAAAATCACCTGATCAATTATAAAGTTCAACCCGACGTTAAAATCCATAATTTCAGAAACTAGGCCGTCTCCGCCCGCAAAGGGATCCTGAATCATGTACGTACATTGTACATTGTACCCACAAAGAATGAGAATGTGAAAGCGACTTGAAACTCTTTAAAAATGAAAATTTCAAGGTTAAATAAGTCTCCTTTTTTAGTTTAGCTTATTAAATTATTTAGCAAAGAAAAAGTTGGAGGGAATTAGAATATAAGGAAACAGGCGATATAAGTCGCACAATATACATTCCACAAAGTCGTCTCTGAAGTCTCATGGTTTGTGGGTAAGCCTGTATATCAAAAAGGTTGGTAACAAGTTTTTTTTCATTTATAGTCAGATAAAGGGAAAATTCGTGTTTGAATACAGAAACTTAAATGAGGAATAATGATACCCAGAACAATAGAACAACTAAAAAGCAGAGAACAAAAAAGAGGACAAAAAAAGAGTAGGGCAAATGATTTACGTTGAACAGCTATAAAGACTTTACAAGTGAAATCGTGTAGCCAAACATATAAGTCGGCCTTGAGCTTCTAAAAAACTACTTGTTTTTTATATTTTTAAAGCTCATTTATGAAGAAAACGAAAGATGAAAAAAGAATTTCAAGAAAAAAACCTGAAGTTCTCCAATGGGCTTGTAGTCGATCCTGCTGATATTGAAACTAAAATCATACCTGAAACCAATTCATCCAATTACAAGGGGAAAGATGACATGAGAATGAAAAATAATAAGAGAAATTTTGCTTATTAAGGAACAGCAAGGGGTTATGCATTTCACATTTAAACTAATTTTGTAATTTTTCCAATTTGTTTGGAATCAAAATCAACCAATCTTTCATCCTATCCATGGAATCATGAAATAGATAAATCAAGAGTTAAAGCTTTGATAATTCTTTATTTTCCTATTTTCTTTTTCTTACCATTCATGTCTTGAGGAAATGATCCTGTGTGTGTGTTCTTCTGCAAACTTATGTTCAAGAACTGTTCAACAACATTATTATTCGTTGTGATTCTTCAGTTTTTTTCTGAACCAATTAAGACAATAGTATTAGAATGGACTAAGGCCACGAGGGATGGGTTGTGTTACGTGTAAGGATTTAAAGAAAACTAATGTTTCTCTGTATTTTGAAGAAAATAATGGATTTACATAAATTCTTTCTAAATTGAAGAATTCAAGAAGGGATATATTGTGGCACATTTAAAGCAAATAAAAAAAACATTCACTTTGTGAAATGTAAATCCTAATTTAATAAATAATAATTTACATTTCACCCCTCTCCACCACCCCATCAAGAAAATGTCATTGAAAGTGTGTTATAGCTAGGAATGCAGGAGCTGACGCAGTAACATGACCCAAGAAAAATTTAGAAACAAACAAGGGAGAGATTAACCTTGTCACTCTCAGAATATAGATACAGGGCTCCAAAAAATAGTTCTGACTCTGCAATTTGGCTAGCTGCCGGGACATCCAAAAAATTCATTTATTTTTATTTTCAAAATTAGCCAAATTATGATTGAAGGATGGACAAACAATGAAAAACAAGAAATATAGAAGTCTCAAAATGTTTCCATCTGATATCATATTAAAATTCAAAAAATATTGTAAAATTTAATTAAAATAAATTATTAAAGTTAAAATAATAATAATAATTTCCTAGTTCTGATCCAAAATCAAAATTAGTTGGGAATTTATGTTGAATAGTTTCTGTAAGATCTCGGCCTTCACAATACATTTTCTCTGGTGGATAGAACGAGGAAAACCCCTGTTCAACCTAGAATATAATTCATTTATTTCTCCTCTTCAACCTAGAACATAATTAATTTATTTCTCCTCTTCAACCTAGAACATAATTCATTTATTTCCACTCTTCAACCTAGAACATTGGTCATTTATTTCCAATATTCAACCTAGAACATAATTCATTTATTTCCCCTCTTCAACCTAGAACATAATTCATTTATTTCCTCTCTTCAACCTAGAACATTAGTCATTTATTTCCCCTGCTTGGGGGCGAGCGCCAGACACTCCATGCAAACCAAAGGTTAAACTCAAAGAGAATAGAATATATATTAGAGTGGAATTTACTAGAAACAAAGTTTATTTAACAGCTTTAAAAAATTCGAAATTGAAATGGATAGTCTAGGGAACAAACTGTATTAATGTACGCTAATGCATATAATTTGTGAACATTTACATTATTTGTACACTTTGAACTCCCTATCAGGATGAAAGGGACTGACAAAAATCATACCCAGGGGTTTGCTAAATTCCACTCTAATATATATTCTATTCTCTTTGGTTAAACTCATTTGGATGAAGAGTTTCGTTTCCACCCTAGGTTTACTGCTTTACTCATTGCTTTGCCTATAATTGCAGTTAGTAAATTCTTTCTGCGTGATTTTGGAGATGTTTTCTGTTACCTCGAAAAAGCTCTGGTAATCAATCTCTAAATCAATAGATTCTCCATTAGGCCCTGAACCTCGTAGTAGAGCAGTTATAGGAACAGATTTACCACTTCCACTTGAACTCACCCATTTAGACAAATCTAAATATCAGCTTAACACTAATTAGATTAGCCCAGTTTCTTAGTCTTGCTACATCTACCATAGGCCTTATCTACAGAGCTCTGCTAAAGCGAAAACATATAATGACTTTATATTGTTCCTGGTATAGCAGAACTAAGAAACTGGAGCGACTATTATATTATAACTGCAATTCATTTAATGTAGCTGACCAGTAGTTCTATATTATAATTATTCATTTAATATACATATTTGATCAGTATAGTTATCTATATATAAATTTGGCTTGTCTTTTTTTGTGGGACATCACGTGACCACAGGGAAGGTTTATGAATAATAAAAATTTTAAAAAATGTGTATTAAAGATTTTTAATTTTGTAAAAAAATTAAAGTCTTGAAAATCCCCCAATTTTTTTTTTTTAAATCCGCAAAATTTTTTCTTCTTTGTTTTAAAATTTAAACAAAAAGAACATGTTCACAATTTAAATAGAAGATGGGCGCAAAGTGCTCTAAAAGCCTTGAAAGAAGGGTTTGAAGCGCCTTGAATTTCTAGTATATTTTAAATATTCATTTAAAATACGTAGCTGACCAGTAGTTATAAATTATATAATTATTTATTTAATATAGCTGATTAGTAGTTATAAATTATAACTATTTATTTAATATAGCTGACCAGTAGTTATAAATTATAACTATTTATTTAATATACAGGGTGTCCCAAAAAACATGGGAATTCAGTGACGAATTCGATATCGTCTTTGTTATGAATTAGCATTGCAATACCTAATTTCAAAAGCAATAATATTATTATGTCTGCTAGAGTTCATTTTATGAAAACAGTAAAAGACTGTAAAGTTGTGTCTATAATGTCTCCGCACGATGAACAGTGAAGACGGACAAGTTTACACTGTTTGTATACTGCAATTTTCTTGTTTTACTAAGTACAACCGTATGCAGTCAAAACATAAACAAACAAATTGTAAACATAGCAGACGAAACTCTTACAGATTACAGCTTTCTCATTAGGTATCACTATACTAAATCAAAGAATTATTTAAAAAGACGATATCGAATTCGTCACTGAATTCCCATGTTTTTTGGGACACCCTGTAGCTGATTAGTAGTTATAAATTATAAAAGAAATTGAGTTTTTGAAACAAACTGAAAATTTCTAAATCCAATATTATTAAACCTGATGGTTTATATTTTGAATATTTCAAACTTAAAATATTTTATCTGATAGAATTCATAGTTTGAAATATCAAAATCCAATATTATTAAACTTAATGGTTTATATTTTGAATATTTCAAACTTAAAATATTTTATCTGATAGAATTCATAGTTTGAAATATCAAAATCCAATATTATTAAACTTAATGGTTTATATTTTGAATATTTCAAACTTAAAATATTTTATCTGATAGAATTCATAGTTTGAAATATCAAAATCCAATATTATTAAACTTAATGGTTTATATTTTGAATATTTCAAACTTAAAATATTTTATCTGATAGAATTCATAGTTTGAAATATCAAAATCCAATATTATTAAACTTAATGGTTTATATTTTGAATATTTCAAACTTAAAATATTTTATCTGATAGAATTCATAGTTTGAAATATCAAAATCCAATATTATTAAACTTAATGGTTTATATTTTGAATATTTCAAACTTAAAATATTTTATCTGATAGAATTCATAGTTTGAAATATCAAAATCCAATATTATTAAACTTAATGGTTTATATTTTGAATATTTCAAACTTAAAATATTTTATCTGATAGAATTCATAGTTTGAAATATCAAAATCCAATATTATTAAACTTAATGGTTTATATTTTGAATATTTCAAACTTAAAATATTTTATCTGATAGAATTCATAGTTTGAAATATCAAAATCCAATATTATTAAACTTAATGGTTTATATTTTGAATATTTCAAATTTAAAATGTTTTATCTGATAGAATTCATAGTTTGAAATATCAAAGGTCTACGACATCGGGTTCAGAGATGCTGGGACAAGAAAATCAGAGTTTGAGGCAAAAACTCAGTTCCTTTAATCTAATTCTAAGTCATAACCATATTTTGGAAATGGTAGAACTAAGAAAATATTGTGATTATTGTTTACAGAATCCTACATTATCAATTAGGTGGAGGAAGTAAATTATCTTAAAGATAAAAGACGTTCTTTTTTATAAATATGGGGACTATATTAAAAACATTTTATTCAATATACCTGACCAATAGTATTTTATTCCTAGGGTTGCATTTAAACTCTCAACATAAAGATCAGAACTAGTGTACTCTATAGTTTCCACTCCTAAACATATTATTTAAAGGGACTGTAAGCGTAATTTCTGTGCGTAAACATGAAAATATCGTCTTTTTAACATTAAACGCTGTTTTAAACATTCGAAAGTAAATATTTATTTTCTGTCAATTTAAGAAAGTTTAACGTTTAATATTTTGATATCAAATTACCTCTAATTGTGGCTACCCCAGTTTTATTCCAGCAGCCTGCAGTATGGAGCATATTAGCTACAGAGGGTAACCCACATTCATCATGCCCTAACTAAAAAGTAAACATAAATTGGAAAAATGTAAGTATTGACATAAAAATGTGAGTTCTTACAAATGTGGAATGCAACTGATAAAATAAAATTAGTAGCGATCGATATCAAATTCACACCGACATCAGCCTATACCTCCATTCATTTTTCGAAAACACTCCCTTTAAGAAAGAATATATGTATTATGTAGATGGGTTTTCCAATAAACATGTGAATTAAGTGACGACTTCTATATCGCCTTTTTCCGCCTGGCATTATTATTTGAACACAATTTTAGTAGAAGCCCAGTTAAAAGAGTTAATGATTGGGAGTTGAAAATGTGTTTTACCATTTGTGCACATTTAAAATTGACATAGATATTAAGAAATAGCTGTTCACATTCCAATTGATTAGATTTAGACGAAAATCAATCAAATGTTTAATGTCTAATTGAAGATACAAAAAAGGCAGATCAGTACAGTAATACATTTTTCAAATGCCATGTTAAATAAATAATAAATAAATATTTTATTAGGCACATAATTATACATTTACAAGGGTTAAAAACACATTGATGAATTCTATGATTATTACAGTGCCGGGAAACCCGGAGAGCTCAATATCTGGCTGTCTGGTCCAGGTCCCTGAAAACTTTAGATTTATGCGGCGTATGATACGATGAAAGTTAAAAAAATGAAGGAGAGGTGAATATTTCTGTTAGGGTTCTGAGACACCCTGTATATACCTCACAATCTGGTTCAATCCCAAAGATCCAGTCCAGATTACCATCCATCATAGTGGAATCGGTTAAACAAAACTCCTCTACAAAATATTAACATTAACATAATGTTAACATATTAACAAGTCTTTAAAGGTTAAGATCAAAATAAGCGGACTCAATTCTGTAAGGGGTGGATGGGGGGTGGGGGGTTAAAAAATCCTGCTCCGGAACTTTCCAGTAAGCGTATAGAGGTCGGAATTTAAGAACGAGAGAGAGGTTTACCATTTGTGTCTGATTTAACGATTTCTCTGATGTAGTCGAGATAAACTCGAACCAGAGAAATGGTATAATTTCATCTTGGCGATACAAAAGTCTAACTACTATCATAAACCATCCTGTACCTCTGAGAGGCTGTCTCACTAAACTATTATCTACTATCTATGATGGTGTACCACTAAGCTTCTATTTACTATCCGATACCCCTATACCTCCAAGAGGGTGTCCCACTCAACTACTGTCAATTATTCTATACCTCCGAGATGGTGTCCCCATAAACTACTATATACTATCCTATACCTCCGAGATGGTGTACCACTCAACTACTGTCAATTATTCTATACCTCCGAGATGGTGTCCCCCTAAACTACTATATACTATCCTATACCTCCGAGATGGTGTCTCACAAAACTACTATATACTATCCTATACCTCCGAGATGGTGTCCCACTAAACTACTGTACATTAGCCTATACCTCGGAGAGGGTGTCCCACTAAACTATTATCTACTATTTTATATCTCCGAGAGGGTGTCCCACTAGACTACTTTATACTATACGATATATGTCCCACTAAACTTCTATCTACTATACTAAACCTCCGAGAGGGTGTCCCACTAAAATACTTTATACTATCCTATACCTCCGAGAGGGTGTCCCACAATAACATGATTGACAAAGTTTTTAACTCCGGTCAACGCATCGTTCCAGATTATCTTGTCCCAGATAGTTGTTGGAACACCATTGTGCTAAATAATAAATAGTTCTTAAAACCCAGTTTGGGACATAGTGTTCTGAAAAATGTTTAAACTGGTTTCAAATGGATTTAAAGATGATGAAATATTACCTTAAATCGACAATATTTTGCACTGATTTAAATTAGTTAAACTTATTATCTATCGCCTCTAAATCGTTACAAATTTTAACCTCTGTACTTAAAAATAAAAAGAACGGTTAAATCCCGTTTGCACCGATACAAAGTTTCTTATAGTCAAAAGTTACTAGATCATGTTTTATATCAAAGGCAAACATTTACACTTACAATTTGTTCAGAAACAAAGATCACAGACGCAGTTCTAAGTCTATTATCAACAGATTCTTCAATTAAAAACGACATTCCTGAAAATACGATGAAATAATTTTTGTTTAAGCTTCTTGAAGTGTATTAGAAAATCAAAATGATTTAAAGAGGCATTTGATAATGTTGTAATTAGAACATCTTTTTAGCAAAAGAGGTTATGTACAGATTTTAATTTAAGGAGGTAGATATACGTATCCTTTAGTTTAAGGTATATCTGGTTAATGTAAAGAGATATATCTAGTTTAATGTAAAGAGGTATATCTAGTTTAAGGTAAAGAGGTATATCTAGTTTAATGTAAAGAGGTATATCTAGTTTAATATAAAGAGATATATATCTAGATTAATGTAAAGAGGTATTACTATAGTTTAATGTAAAACAGAGTTATGTATTATGTGCATCTTTGATAACCTGCTTTATGTTCTTCCATCATCTTGTTTGTAGCTTTGTTCTTCCTGTAAAATGGACATTTTTGATTCTTACATGTTTTTCTTTTTAATTAAAATGTTAATCTGTTAGTGCAGGGACGGATAAATATTTTTCTCTTTCAATACCGTCCTACTTTTATTGTGAATATGTACTCCATGGATAAAAGAGATTCTTATTATAGTACATAATATTGTAATTTCTGTAAGCACTGATTTTCTTATTATTTAAACTTACAGCTAGGTCAAGCTTGTTGTTCTTTACCTGTAGTATCTCAGATCATTTTTAATGTTGTACTGCAGGTTGGCGTGGAAATATTCAGGCAGAGGCGGTAGCTCTGATTGACAATCCTTAAAATAAACTCAAAATTTACAATCCATAAAATAAACTCTGATTTACAATCCTTAAAATAAACTCTGATATTCTTTAAAGTGAACTCTGATTGACAATCCATAAAAGAAACTCTGATTTACAATCCTTTAAACATGTTCTTTTTAACATTTTTAAGATTTTTAGTTTTTCACAATATGCATAAGATAAATGGGTGATGAAAACAGGGTGCTCACACGTCTGAACACACCCCTGTCACAGTTCTTGTTGTACTTCATTTTCTGCACTACAGTCTTGTTTTCCAATGTTGTTTCCTGTGCTTTAATTTTCCATCTTGTTCTTGGTTAAATTTTGAAAGAAAAGTTTTTGGACGTCCCAATGACCACCAAAAAATTATCGGTTCAAAATTTTGTTTTATGATTTGTGTTCTGATTCAGCAGACTCATTTCTGCTTGAGTTATCAATTTTTAGCGTCATTGCCTAACCAGGAATGCCTGACCTGGCAAGATGATCAAGCTTGAAGGTTTTGACAAGGGGGTAGTTAAGGGGCCACATGGGAGGGTATGGGTTAGACAATTCTTTAAAATTTTTTGCACTTTTTATCTTCTCTGGATGTTTTAAACTAATGCTGTTGACTTCGAGATATGGATAACTTGGAGGAGTTGGAAGTTCATTAGTTTAAACTCTAATTGACAGTAGTTTAAACTCTAATTGACAGTAGTTTAAACTCTAATTGACAGTAGTTTAAACTCTAATTGACAGTAGTTTAAACTCTGGCAATGCTTAGTTTAAACTCTAATTGACAATGCTTAGTTTAAACTCTTATTAACAATTCTTAGTTTAGACTCTAATTGACAATGCTTAGTTTAAACTCTTATTAACAATTCTTAGTTTACACTCTAATTGACAATGCTTAGTTTAAACTCTTATTAACAATGCTTAGTTTAAACTCTGACAATGCACAGTTTAAACTCTCATTGACAAAATTCTTCGTTTAAACTCTAATTGACAATGCTTAGTTTAAACTCTTATTAACAATTCTTAGTTTAGACTCTAATTGACAATGCTTAGTTTAAACTCTGACAATGCACAGTTTAAACTCTCATTGACAAAATTCTTCGTTTGAACTCTAATTTTGACAGTTTTTAGTTTAAACTCAAATTAACAATTCATTAGTTTAAATTCTACTTGACAGTTCATTATTCAAAACTCTGATTGACAATTAATAGTTTAAACTCAAATTAACAGTTAATTATTTTAATTCAAATTGACAGTCCATTATTCAAAACTTTAATTGACAATTCATAGTTTAAACTTTAATTGACTAATAGTAAAATTCATTACCGCAGGAATATAATTATTTGATCTGCAGAGAGCAAAACTTTTGATTGGGATGACTTAGGTTTAGAGACTGAACTTTTAAATCAAAGGATTTAAGTTCAATTTCTGTCACATACTAGAAATCAATAAAGAAATTGTTACGAAATGAGTTTAAGAGATGTTAGTGGCTTAGGTCAAACCGTCCTCGGAGGTCCGGCCATCTGATTTTATTACCTGTGTGAAGAGATGGATCGTTTTTTTTAAACGATCATTTCGTATAGAAAAAAAAGAAAACGAAAGGGTGGTTTTCAAAATCGATCGCTTTTTGTCTTATTTCCTTGTTTTATTAACGATCGTTAACGATGACCCCTCGTTTTTTTGTGACCCATCGAAAAACAAGACAAAAACTATCGTTTTTCAATGGCTTTAAAACCCTATTAACAACCCTACCTGTGTGTATCCAAGATGAAGTAAAGAGAGTAACAGTATTATCCTCATTTTTCTAATTAAACGAGGAGAATGTTGTAGAATTAATGTTTTTATCTGTTCAAGAGTTAAAGAAAGGATTCAGAAGTTGAAGAAAGGATTCAGGAGGTAACGTGAGGATTCAGGAGTTAAAGAGAGGATTCAGGAGTTAAAGAGAGGATTTAGGAGTTTAAGAAAGGATTCAGAAGTTGAAGAAAGGATTCAGGAGGTAACGTGAGGATTCAGGAGTTAAAGAGAGGATTCAGGAGTTAAAGAAAGGATTTAGGAGTTTAAGAAAGGATTCAGGAGTTTAAGAAAGAATTCAGGAGTTTAGGAAAGGGTTTATAGAATATACTTTTTATTGAAACAAAAAATGCCAACTCTCATGCAACAAAATATTATGTTCTGGTGATACTTGGTTTCATTTTCGAATATTTTGAAACAGTTACCGTATTTCAGATCTTGTAAATCCGCTAGAAAACTTGTCGAGAAGGGAATGAATTGTTAAAGTTTCAAAGATATAGGGCATACAAAATTAGATGTTGTGGCTAGTGTTTAGTTTCTTAGCAGATATATTCATTTCTATTATTCTGTAGAAAAAAGTAACGATGAGGTTTATTTTGTTTAGAAAATACTAGATCTTGTATACCTTTGCTTCTTAATTGTAGCCTATTAAGTTTCAATTAAGTAAAAATGTGAAGGAAATGGCAGAGGAAAGGAAAGTATTTCAATAATATAGACTTGAACAAAATAGAGATACTAGAAAAGATTTATCAGACCACTGGTAAAAGATTTTATAAATCCTTTCACATAGATTTATGAAATACATACTTGTTGTTATTTGAATAAACACTTTTAAGAAATATATTTTATTTAAGATGGTTTTATTCCTAGCTGGTTATCCAACAAAGGAATTGAGTCTTTGTCACAAGCTCAAATTTTCTAATCCCTAAATCTTAGCAACTATATGGTCTTAACCTTTAATATTTCAAACTCTGATTATTTGATCTATCAGAGTTCATACTTTGAAATATCTAAGGTCTACGACCTTGTGCTACGAAGATATGGGGATTAGAAAATCTGAGTTTGTGCCTGAGACTCAATTCCTTTAATGTGTTATGTAGTGTGTACGTATAATCAAATTTAATCTGTAAATTAAGTTTGTATAATTTTAATCTATCTGGTATGTCCAAAGGAATTGAGTCTTTTACACAAACTAAAATTTTCTAATCCATAAATTTTTGCCTCCTGATTGTGAAACCTTGAACTAACAGATTTTACAGTTTGAAATATCCAAAGTTTACGACATTCGGTTGCAATTATATAAAATCAGAGTTTGTGACAAAGACTCATTTCCTTTTAGTTCTATTCATAAACTACGGTGGTAGGCGATTTTATCAATATAATGAAGACGACTTTAGATTTGAATTTTGATTTGTATCAAGCTTTTAAATGGCATGGATACTCAAAAACACAGAAACAAGAAGAAGCTGGTCAAGTAAGAAATATACTCTTTAATTGCTTGTAAACTTGCAATTCGAAAAAAGCTTTTTCACAATTAAAATTCAAATCAAAATAGATTTTGTTGATAAATAAATGAAATTTGAAAAATTTTGCAAAAAAAGAAAATGGAATTTTGATTGTTTGAATAGTTGTGGCAGACAATACAAATAGAACTGTGAGGTGAGAAGCATAGTGTTAATAAACTAGAGAAGAGGGAGTTTTGTGGTTTAACAACTATAGTTATTAGATAAGAATATATTTGTTGTAAAACATTGCAGTGTTTTTATAAAAACACAAAAAAGTTATTTAATTTAATATAAAGAGAATTGAGTCTTTGCCAAAAACTCTGATTTAATAGCTATATCTTAACAAACCAATGTCGTAGACCTTAGATATTTCAAACTATGGATTTGGTTAGATCAAATGTTTACATTAACAGGTTTACATTCTTCAGGTTGCAAATATATTGGCGTTAGCAAATTTGAGCTTGTGTCAAAGACTTAATTCCTTTGTAAAGGTAGTAGATATGTGAGAAGCGTTTATTTCTTGAAATAAATTCCTAAATAAAAAAGCAATTTTTGATATAATCACAAGTTTAGATTCATTTTGAGTTAAAAATTTGACTTATGATAACCTTAACTTCTCGATCGTTAAAAACCACACGCATCTTTGTTAAAGAACTTTAACAATCATTTATCTTTGTTAAAGATCGCTAACAACTATATGTATCTTCATTAAAGATCGTTTACAACCACGTTTCTTTGTTAAAGATCGTTGAATCCAGGACTTAGAAATACTAATGATTATTTTGTACCCGGAGTCAGATTTCCTTTTGTATCTATTCCTTCCGCATGGAATAATTTTCCTGTTGAAATTAAGCAGTCCGAATCTAAAAATATTTTTAAATCTGTCTCTAAAGCCTATCTTATTGATAAATTACAGGGGTTCACTTGTGAAAGGCTATTGTTTCCTTGTTGTTTAAACACTAGATAATTAGATTTTAAAATTCCAAGCTTTCATGAATGTACATCTCTTTTTTCACCTAAACTTAAAAACTTGAATGTCATGTAAATTCTAATATACATTATCTCTTTGCAGTATTAAAAATGGGATATGTCTTCCATCAAACATTTCAATCATTTTAATTATTCTTAATTAAATATTGGTAATGTTTGTTACTGTATTGGTTTAATAGAGCTGAGCAATATATTGTTTATTATCATGTTTATTTATATTTTCTGCCACCACACCTGCTCGTCCTATCGTCCAGGTTCCCCCCCCCTTTTCCTGTCACTAAGCTAAAGGAAAATTATGAAAACCCCAGATTGATTTTCCCTCACGAGGATTATACTTTTCTATGTGATATTCATATTGTATAAATTTTAACCTTCGTGCAATAAATATTTGATTTGATTTGATTTGATTTGATTTGATTTGATTTGATTTGATTTGATTTGATTTAATTTGATTTAATTTGATTTGATTTGATTTGATTTGATTTGATTTGATTTGATTTGATTTGATTTGATTTGATTTGATTTGATTTGATTTGATTTGATTTGATTTGATACCTTATTTAAGGAAAGTTGTTACATTCATTATCAAAATTAGTCTTCTATTTTTAAATAAAATTGTAATTAATCTAATTATGGAGAAAAAATACGATATCAAGCTAGTAATGCATTTACGGTAAATTAGATTAAATTACACTGTAGATTGGAATCCGTAATGTTTTTAATCATAATTACTTTTATTGAAGAGAGATTGAGAAGAAGATCCGGATAAAGAAGGACCGGATAAAGTTGGGATTAAAATTAAAACTATAGGAGCATATAAGAGGTCACCTTCTCCTCCTACTGAAGAACCGGATAAAGTTGGGATTAAAATCAAAACTATAGGAGCATATAAGAGGTCACCTTCTCCTCCTACTGAAGAACCGGATAAAGTTGGGATTAAAATCAAAACTATAGGAGCATATAAGAGGTCACCTTCTCCTCCTACTGAAGAACCGGATAAAGTTGGGATTAAAATCAAAACTATAGGAGCATATAAGAGGTCACCTTCTCCTCCTACTGAAGAACCGGATAAAGTTGGGATTAAAATCAAAACTATAGGAGCATATAAGAGGTCACCTTCTCCTCCTACTGAAGAACCGGATAAAGTTGGGATTAAAATCAAAACTATAGGAGCATATAAGAGGTCACCTTCTCCTCCTACTGAAGAACCGGATAAAGTTGGGATTAAAATCAAAACTATAGGAGCATATAAGAGGTCACCTTCTCCTCCTACTGAAGAACCGGATAAAGTTGGGATTAAAATCAAAACTATAGGAGCATATAAGAGGTCACCTTCTCCTCCTACTGAAGAACCGGATAAAGTTGGGATTAAAATCAAAACTATAGGAGCATATAAGAGGTCACCTTCTCCTCCTACTGAAGAACCGGATAAAGTTGGGATTAAAATCAAAACTATAGGAGCATATAAGAGGTCACCTTCTCCTCCTACTGAAGAACCGGATAAAGTTGGGATTAAAATCAAAACTATAGGAGCATATAAGAGGTCACCTTCTCCTCCTACTGAAGAACCGGATAAAGTTGGGATTAAAATCAAAACTANTAGTTAGTTAGTTAGTTAGGTAGTTAGTTAGTTAGTTAGTTAGTTAGTTAGTTAGTTAGTTAGTTAGTTAGTTAGTTAGTTAGTTAGTTAGTTAGTTAGTTAGTTACGTAAATTCAAAGACCAAGACGTACACTGCTGTAAAAACGACCCAGTTATGAAAATGTATGCTACTAAAGTGCAGTCTGGGTGTATAGTGAGCTATCTTGGTGAGATAAAAAACTTATTTAAAAAAAAAACGAAGAAAAAAGGATTAAATGACATGAAGTTTTTATTCTCTAAACCTCTGCAATATTGTTACAAGTTTACAAGCACGATAACTATTCATATTATTTCGGTTTACAGTTAACAGATTTTAAACAGAAAATTTCTCTTTATCTAAGATATTACATATTTTAGTCAACATGGATAATAATCTAAAAGACGAGATTCTACAGAGAAAGTCCTAAAATATTATAAATTATTCGTCGTACCCTAATAATAGTGTTAAAAGGTAATGTTTTTGTGCACTTTTCAAAACAAATGTCATACAAGATTTTTTGACAAAGTAAAAAATTTGAAATTATTTTAATTCTATTCATGTTCAATTTGAAAAAATTATTTTAAGAAGCATCCTTTTTTTTAGAAAATTTGGGGAACTTAATATTACTGTAAAAAGTTTATTGCCCATTACTATTTTAAAACTTAAACTAGAAATAAGCCTGTTGCATTATTAAAATTATATGTCCAGGGCTACGAAAAAGTATAAGTGAGTTGTTTAGGTAAAAACAAAGGCCATAGCGTTGCGATAATAAATCTATAATTACTTGAGACATTTCAGCACGATAACTACTTTAAAGTTCTGCTATAATTAAATTGAACATGAACTGAGAATGAATGATAAGTACACACTGGTTTAATAGAAACATTTAAGGGCACTGGCAAGCAATAATTGATTTCCATGTTGACTTCAAACATATATAATTTGTCTATATATTACTGTTCTTCGAACCATTGCAGTTTTTTTCTTGATCTTCTCATTCTTCTTGTTCTTTTTCTTACTATTATTATTATCATTATCATTACAATTATTATTTTTATTATTATTACTATTATTATCATTATTATTATTATTGTTGTTATTATTATTATTAATAGGCTTTTGGGGTGCATTGAGCCCTTCTTCTTTTTTTATTATTATTAGTATTATCATTATTATTATTATAATTGCTATTATTATCTTTATTATTATAATCATTATTAATAGTATAATTATAATTTAGAATTGTTCTAAGCTGATGCACTCGTCCATCCAACCTAAAAAATACAATTTTTAGATCAAACTCTTGGCCATCAGGATTGAGTAGGTTGGCATAACATAAGATAAGTATTCCTTTTTGCTTTAAAACAGAAACCATTAACATATTTTTAACAATTTTTGTTATTTAAAAGGTTTTTTAAAAGATGATTAAAAAATTGTACAAAATTATTTTAATAGTAATACAGTGTTTAAATCTTCCCACTTTGGGCTTCTTGCGGTCCAGGGAACCTCCCCGTGTGGAGGGGGGAGGGACTTATGGACCCCTAAAACCCCTAGTGTGAAACAGCACCCCAATATTTCTGGTTTATGTCAAGGAATTACATGTTTCTTAATTCAATATCTCAGCTCCCGACACTGAACCCAAACAGTCATGAAAAAAAGACCCTTGCAAATTGTCTTGAATTTGATATTTGCTATCTCGACAGGTTTGTAGATTGTTGCATGATATGACTAGACTAAATGTAGATCTATCAACTAATGTGTATGTTTTCGAGCTCTGTTCCAGGCCGTGGAAGAAAGGAACTATGCTCCAAACGTGGAATTTGAATATTTGTTGGACCCAATGTCATAATCTCCACTTACAAATAATGACAAATGAGATAAAAGGAGTTTTTTGGAGTCTTGAAACTGATATGTAAATGTAAGAACATCTTGGGCAGTACTTGTAAATGATGCTTGTACTTGATGCTTCTCCACATTAGAAAGGTTTGTGGTTGATGGATAATTACATGTTTCCCATGGGTTGTGTGTTTTACTTAAACACTGGCTCAAAAGACCTGTTTTAAAGGAGTACAAGACGAAATTTTGCATAGCAAGCCTAGACCCAGAGAGGTGAAAAACCTCTGTTCTCCAGGTTAATATAACGTTGACAGACATTGTTGATTATCTTTTGTTTTCCTTTTCAATTTCCCTTCATACCTTTAGTTTCTTATAGATTTGCCATTTTTCTTTGTCTCCAAAACCATTAATATATATACTGACGGAAAGCATCAGAACAAAAATCGAAAAGTATTCTAAGATTTATCATATTCTTCCCTCCCCCCCCCACCTTCTCTTATTTTTCCGATGTCCATGAAACATAATCTAATCACTATATCTTTGCACCCCAATGTCGTAGACCTTTTAGATATTTCAAACTTCTGTGAGATCAAATATTTTAAGTGCGAAAAATCTGGTTTAGAAAGTTTGAATTTGTGGCAAAGACTCGATTCCTTTGAAGTAGAAACTAATTGAATTAAAATTCAAGAAAGTAAACTAAGTAAAAATGTTAATAATAGACTAGTGCAGGCTAGACTAGTTAATTATTACTTTTATTAAACAAGCTGTGAGGAAGAAGTTGTATTATCAGGCAATTTTTTAATTAAAACTTTCAAGCTCTTGCAAAAATATCGTTTTTACTAACCTTTTAGCATATTCCTATAATGAATATTCATGTACAGTTAATAGGGTTTCCACTGGAATTCCGGGTTTCGGTTTACGTATGGAAATGATCCGGAAATTTTTTCCATTTCCATTATGGAAAAGGTTCCGGAAAACCGGAATTCCAGAACGATTTCCGGAACGATTTTTTTCCCGTAAAACGGAAATTTCCGGAACGTTGTTCCGGAATATCGTTCCGGAAATTTTCCGGAAAATCGTTCCGGAAATTTCCAGTTTCCGGAAGATTTGGTACCAGAATTACACTAAAGTCTTACATCTGTGAATACAACACCAGTTAGTAACACTAACAATATATGGATGGATGCCGGACGGTAAAAATATGAATTTAATTAAAATAAGAAAAATTCTTTAAGTTCCGGTTTACGGAATGGAAATTTTCCAGTTTACGTTATGTAAACCGTAAAAATTTCCGGTTTACGGAATGGAAACCGGAAATTTTTCCGGTTTACGAAATCGGAAACTGGAAATTTTACGGTTTCCATTCCGTAAAACGGAAATTTTTCCGGTTTACGTGACGTAAACCGGAAAATTTCCGGTTTCCATTTATACCGGAATTATCCCGGAATTCCGGTTTACGCAGCAAATTTCCGGATCATTCCATTTCCAAAATGGAAATTTTTTTCCGGAAAAATGGAAACCCTAACAGTTACCTTATTATAAAATGTACATTCCCTCTTGTGGATATATCTGTAGAGTTACCTTATTATTGTACAATCCCCCTACTGGATATCCCTGTACAGTTAAACTATGATACAATGTACAATCCCTCTATTGGATATCCCTGTACAGTTAACATAGTATTGTACAATCCCTCTAGTGGATATCCCTGTACAGTTAACTTATTATTGTACGATCCCCCTAATGGATATCCTTGTACAGTTACCTTATTATTGTACAATCCCTCTAGTGGATATCCCTGTACAGTTACCTTATGATACAGTGGGCACTCCCTAAAGAAAATTTTGCCTCCACTGTACAAATACCTTAATAGAGAAAAAAGCATAAATAAAATCAAGTAAATACGTTATGGCAGTGAATAACATAGAAAATATTCTGATATTACCTATCATCCCCCTTTTTGATGTTGATTTTGACTTCATTTTTTCGGGGTGGAACCTTTCTTTCAATTTTCTCCAGAACCTTGATTCAATATTACAGCATTCTGCTGGTTCTGTTGATTTAGATAAATGTTTTGTAAAATCTATTACTGTTACGGGGGCCAAATATGTAAATAATGCAATGAGTATTGCATTATTCACATTGCTTACTGATCTTAAAATTTTCATAGTTTCCCTTGAAAAAAACTCCCGCTTCTGAACACAGCATAATTTTGCTGTAAGATTCCTTTTCTTCTTTTTTGATAATTTTTGGTGGGATTGGAGATATCAGAACTCTGTGCTCGCCGCTGTCGTCTACCAACTAAAACAATGCAATTAAGGATCAAAGGGGAATCATTTTAAGATATGTCTGTAATATACAAATTAAGGATTATTAATGAAAACTGTAAAACTATTTGTTGTCATTGCTAAAACATGGAGATATGACACTTATTTAAAAATTATGAATCCAAATAAAAGAATATCGACACATGTCTAATTCATTAATTCATCGCATACCCTCTTCATGTGTTCGAGTCTAAAGGCTGTTCAAAAAAAAGAATCGTATTGATCTACATTAATTTTAATACTGCGTCTGCATGATGCAGAAACTGTTGAAAATGAGTTTTATAAGTTTTATTTTTTACCTGCTGTACATCTAGATCTTGGCCTATTTTTGTGGTGATTCTAACCTAATTAATATTGATTTAAAATGTAATAAAATCTTTCCAACTTGGGTGAAAAGGCACAAATGCAAAGCAAAGAACAAAACAAGTTTACAGTTGCTGTGGACTATGGATAAAAGAAATCATACAATATAAATTCCATACAATCGTCTTTGAAGTTTGTAATTTAGTATTGAATTTAGAAAATTATTTAAACGAATTACATCTGTCCTATGTATCTCAAAATATATGGAAAACTGGTTCATCAGGCCTGGGATAGTTACTTTACAAATGTTTTAACCTCTGTACCAAGAAATTAATAAAATTATTTTAAATAACGATGAATATTGAATTCTGTATAGGGGGGGGGGGGGGGGGGGGGTTAAAGGAAGAAAAATATCAATATAAATTCGCGCATATCAAATGCAATTATAATTAAAGATAATACTTTCTTTAAAACAAATAATACAATATCTGTGTAAAACAAGAAATAAAATTAGATCATTGATTCATGCGGTAATAATAATAAAGTTAGCTAACTTAATAAAAACAATAAAGAAACACAAATTCTACAACAAAAGGTGGTGGTAGACATGTAGAAAATCCGTATATTTGTTAACCTGAACATATCTAGATATATTACGCTGTACATTATTTGTAAATCTAAATGCGCTTATCATTAACGAGCAAGACTTGTAATGCGATCAACCTAGCCTAGCTACGTCTGTAAACATATCAAACCTGTATTGTGATTAGTTTAACTGCGCCTATATACATATCTGCGCAAACTTTGTAAATACTACATTAACTTAACCTGTAACATAGATATCAGATATCTAAATACACGTCAGTTGGAATAGACTCTGCTTTGCTTACAGAGAGAGAAGTAATTGTTCCACGTTTATCAAACGAGTTGATGAAATTGTGCCCATGTTGGCAATGATAGTTTAAAAGCTTGTGTCCGTGTTGACATTGGTAGCTTATGAGATAGTGTCCGTGTTGACATTGATAGTTTACGAGATCGTGTACATGTTGGCATTGATAGTTTACGAGATCGTGTCTGTGTTGGCATTGATAGTTTATGAGATCGTGTCTGTGTTGGCATTAATAGTTTTTCGAGCTTGTGTCCATGTTGAAATTGGTAGCTTATGAGATTGTGTTCGTGTTGACATTGGTAACTTATGAAATTGTGTCTGTGTTGGCATTAATAGTTTACGAGATCGTGTCTGTGTTGACATTGGTAGCTTATGAGATCTTGTTGGTGTTGACATTGGTAGCTTATAAAATTGTGTCCGTGTTGACATTAATAGTTTACGAGATCGTGTCTGTGTTGGCATTGATAGTTTACGAGATCGTGTCCGTGTTGGCATTAATAGTTTACAAGATTGTGTCCGTGTTGGCATTAATAGTTTACGAGCTTGTGTCCATGTTGACATTGGAAGCTTCTGAGATTGTGTCCATGTTGGCATTGATAGTTTATGAGATTGTGTCTGTGTTTGCATTAATAGTTTTTTGAGCTTGTGTCCATGTTGAAATTGGTAGCTTATGAGATTGTGTCCGTGTTGACATTGGTAGCTTATGAGATCATGTCCGTGTTGACATTGATAGTGAAGTGTTGGTGAACTGATTAATTCTTCTGCCTCTTAGACAAACGAGAGGGGTGGAGTTGTACCTGGATTGATACATGTCTGAGAGACTTTTATAGAGTAGGGCATTTACTACAGACAATATAATAATTTATATTTCAATTATATATTTACTTCAATGTTCTTTAAAAAAGCAGTAAAAAGAAAGTTTAATATTTTTTCCCGAATTTCTGATTTGTAGTAAGTTTTAAATAATTGATAAATAAATAGACATTTGAAAGCTTTGAGCTGAGATATTACCTTCCATTCAGGACCTGAAAGAAACTCTCCCTTTTCATCCTCTCCTTCAGAAATAATCGTCTCCTAAAAGAATTAAATCTTTGCACAAACTCTGATTTTCTAATTTCTATATCTTTGCAACCTAATTTCTTAGACCTAAAGATATTTAAACTATGAATTCTGTTATATAAATAATCTAAGTTTGAAATATAAAAGGTTTTCACCATGGGTGCAAACATTTAGGGATTCGACTAATTTGGGTTTATAAACACTTTCAAATTTCTGTCTAAATTTTGTTAAAATATAAAAATCAAAAATAAAATTTTAATAAACTTAAAAGTTTGTTTTCAAAACTTAAATAGTTTTGATCAGATCATCAATTACCATATAATGACTTTTACTTTTAACACATGCAATATACAGAATAAAATATAAAATAAAATTGATATCGATTTAGAAATATAGAAATATCTATCAGGTTCAAATAATTTCCAGAACTTGAGTGCGGAGAATACATGAAATCTATTTTTATAAGAATAAAGTAGTTTACCAACTTGTTATGCATAAACTACACGTAATGTGCAGAAAATACTTCCAAATACAAAATATGTATATATATTAAACCAAAATTAGATTTAAACGAGTTCCTGATTATGAATGTGTTCCTGATTTTTTAACGTCAACAATTCCAGATCGTTATTTTCAATCAATAGTCAGGGTAGGTGTGGTCTTGAATCTGCTTTAGTCAGGGTAGGTGTGGTCTTGATTCTGATATAGTCAGGGTAGGTGTGGTCTTGAATCTGATGTAGTCAGGGTAGGTGTGATCTTTAATCTGATAAAAGCAGGGTAAGTGTGGTCTTGAATCTGATATAGTCAGGGTAGGTGTGATCTTTAATCTGATATAGGCAGGGTAGGTGTGGACTTGAATCTAATAAAGTCAGTGGAGGTGTGGTATTGAATCTACATTAGTCAGGGTAGGTGTGGTCTTGAATCTGATATAGTCAGGGTAGGTATGGTCTTTAATCTGATACAGGCAGGGTAGTTGTGGTCTTGAATCTGTGTTTGTCAGGGTAGGTGTGGTCTTGAATCTGATAAAGTCAGGGTAGGTGTGGTCTTTAATTTGATAAAGGAAGGGTAGGTGTGGTCTTTAATCTGATATAGTCAGGGTAGGTGTGGTCTTAAATCTGCTATATTCTGGGTAGGTGTGGTCTTTAATCTAATATAGACAGGGTAGGTGTGGTTTCGAATCTGATATAGTCAGGGTAGGTGTGGTCTTTAATCTGATATAGTCAGGGTAGGTGTGGTCTTGAATCTGATATAGTCAGGGTAGGTGTGGTCTTTAATCTGATATAGGCAGGGTAGGTGTGGTCTTTAATCTGATATAGTCAGGAAAAGTGTGGCTTTTAATCTGATATAGGCAGGGTAGGTGTGTCTTGAATATGATATAGTCAGGGTAGGTGTGGTCTTGAATCTGATATAGACAGGGTAGATGTGGTCTTGAATCTCCTGTAATCAGGGTAGGTGTGGTCTTGAATCTGATATAATCAGGGTAGCTGTGGCCTTTAATCTGATATCGGCAGGGTAGGTGTGTTCTTGAATCTGATATAGTCAGGGTAGGTGTGGTCTTGAATCTGTGGTAGTCAGGGTAAGTGTGGTCTTTAATCTTATATAGTCAGGGTAGGTGTGGTCTTTAATCTGATAAAGTCAGGGTAGGTGTGGTCTTGAATCTACTTTAGTCAGGGTAGGTGTGGTCTTGAACATGCTGTAGTCAGTGGAGGTGTGGTCTTGATTCTGATATAGTCAGGGTAGGTGTGGTCTTGAATCTGATATAGTCAGGGTAGGTGTGGTCTTAAATCTGCGGTAGTCAGGGTAGGAGTGGCCTTTAATCTGATATAGGCAGGGTAGGTGTGGTCTTGAATCTACTTTAGTTAGTGGAGGTGTGGTCTTGAATCTGATATAGTCAGGGTAGGTGTGGTCTTGAATCTAATTTAGTAAGGGAAGGTGTGGTCTTGAATCTGATATAGTCAGGGTAGGTGAGGTCTTGAATCTGATATAGTCAGGGTAGGTGTGGTCTTGAATCTGATATAGTAAAGGTAGGTGTGATCTTGAATCTGCTATAATCAGGGTAGGTGTAGTCTTAAATCTACTTTAGTCAAGGTAGGTGTGGTCTTGAATCTGATATAGTCAGGGTAGGTGTGGTCTTGAATCTGCTATAGTCAGGGTAGGTGTAGTCTTAAATCTACTTTAGTCAGGGTAGGTGTGGTCTTGAATCTGATATAGTCAGGGTAGGTGTGGTCTTGAATCTGCTGTAGTCAGGGTAAATTTGGTCTTGAATCTGCTATAGGCAGGGTAGGTGCTGTAGGTGTGCTCTTGAATTTGCTATAGTAAGGATAAGTGTGGTCTTAAATCTGATATAGTCAGGATAAGTGTGGTCTTGAATTTGATATAGTCAGGGTAGGTGTGGTCTTGAATCTGCTGTAGTCAGGGTAGGTGTGGTCTTGAATTTACTTTAGTCAGAGTATGTGTGTTTTCAATCTGCTATCGTCAGTGTAAGTGTGTCTTAAACCTTCTATCGTAAGTGTAGGTTTATCTTAAATCTGATATAGTCAGGGTAGGTGTGGTCTTGAATCTACTTTAGTCAGAGTAGGTGTGGTCTTGAATCTGCTGTAGTCAGGGTAGGTGAGGTCTTGAATTTACTTTAGTCAGTTTAGGTGTGGTTTTGAATCTGCTGTAGTCAGGGTACGTGTGGTCTTGAATCTGATATAGTCAGGGTAGGTGTGGTCTTCTCTAATAACTTTATCCAACCCTAAAATTATACCTGGTAACCATCCTCAGTAGGTTCTCCTTTCTTCACGTTCAAGGAAGCCGGGGCCTACAATAAATATTATAAAACTTGATGGCTTCATAGAATCTTGGATTTAAAATACCCTAGTTTATAAGAAAACCTGGTTTAAAGGAACCCTGGTTTCAAGAATCCCTGGTTTAAAGGAACCCTGGTTTAAGGAACCCAAGTTTAAAGTAATCCTAGTTTAAAGGAACATTGGTTTAAAGGAACTTTGGTTTAAATGAACCCTGGTTTAAAGATATCCAGGTTGCCAGAAAACTTGGTTTTAAGAAATCCTGGTTTCAAGAAACCCTGGTTTCAAGAAACCCTGGTTTCAAGAAACCCTGGTTTCAAGAAATCCTGGTTTAAAGATATCCTGGTTTAAAGATATCCTGGTTTAAAGAAATCCTGGTCTCAAGAATCCCGGTTTTAAGAATCCTTGTTTCTAGAATCCCTGATTTTATTTAAATAACCTTCTGATTAGAACCATTAAATTATGAAAATTCGCTTTTTTGTTTGTTTAGATAACGAAACAATATCAATACCTCTCATCATGTTATTATTAATCCTGTTTAGTAAGAAACCGAGTTTTTGCCACACACTCTAATTTTTTAATCCCTATAACTGTGCAATCCGATGTCGTATGGCCTTTTATATTTCAAATTTTTAATTTTGTCAGATCAGTCTAAGTTTGAAATATCAAAGGTTTACATCTTTAGGTTACAAAGATATAGGGATTATAAAACTTGAGTTTGTGACCAAAACTTTCCTTTACCTTTATATTGATCCTCCAGCAATCATCCATGTTCAAGGTATTGCCTTCTAAACTTTCTTCTACAGAAAAAAAAACAAGTATATTGCTTATTTATGTGATCACAACAAAAATCATTGTTGCCCATTCATTTAGGATGAAAAGTTGTTCTTAATTATTGCCGTCATAATTTATCCTATGTACCAGATTCTTTGTTATATTGGTTGGCAGAAAAATAAAAATATTAAGCTAAGAAAGTTTATTTTTTTCAACAGATTTAATATTGAAATGACAAATATTTCTTCCCCCACCCTCCCCTTTTTTCTCGGACACTGAAACCTGAGCACAAGGAAACTGCAGTCTATTTTATCTTTGTTACCTCGAGTAACCTCGCTGGATCTAATTTTTAACTTATGATGTGACACAATTTACATATAAATAGATTACGAAATTGTTTTTTCTTGTAAATAGCTCTTCAAAATAGAAATGTTGTGAAACATGCAAGATTTCAAATTAAAATGAAAATAAACTTGAGCTCGACTAGTTCCACTATAGATTTTATAATACGACACAGTAAAAAAACACTCCACAAAATTTCCCTTTTTTTCCTCCTTGATATAAAAAATATTTACCTTGATGCCCAGGAGATAGTTTAGAAGTATCTGCTAGTTCTGGATCCACCTCTAGACAAATATAAACAAAATTTATTTTACTTTATAATTCTAGGGTCATACACCATAGTTTCAGTATAAAGTAAATATTTCCATTTACTGATAGCGCTGATTAAAGGATGCATAACTCTGATTGGATAATGAGATAGATAAAAAGATAGTTGTTAAAGCCATACTATTTCTATTGGTTCAGAATAGACAACAAACACATGACTGAACCCTGATTGGATCAGGCGCTAATGGTCTGGGCATACAGGAGTGCATAATAAAAAAAAGAATGTTGGTCCTTTTCTTAGGTCAAATATGCATGTTGGCAAGGGTTGTATCATGGAATTTCTAACACTGCATAATAAACTGTCTAGCTGCCCCACTGTCTAATTGTCTCACTGTCTGATTGTCTCACTGTCTAATTGTCTAACTGTCTAACTGTCTAATTTTTAATCTTTCTAACTGTTTAGCTGTCTCACTGCCTAATTGTCTGACTGTCTAATTGTATATCTATCTAATTGGCTAGCAGTCTCTCTGTCTAATTGTCTAACTGTATAACTGTATAACTGTCTAGCTGTCTAACTTTCTAACTGTCTTAATGTTTATTTGTTTAGCTGCTTTATTGTGTATCTGTCTATCTGTCTATCTTTCTGTCTATTTGTCTATCTTTCTGTCTATCTGTCTATCTTTCTGTCTATTCGTCTATCTTTCTGTCTATCTGTCTATCTTTCTGTCTATCTATCTATCTTACTGTCTATGTCTATATATCTTTCTGTCTATATATCTATCTTACTGTCTATATGTATATATTTCTTTCTATCTGTCTGTTTGTTTACACTAAGACTGCAGTGCAAATTATGCTGTCATCATTTTAACCGAATCTATACCGTTGCCTTCAGATTATCTTTAAAAAGAAATATTAGAAATTGTTTAGGGAATATTGGAAATATAATAAATAAATATTTAGCATAATTTTGTAAAGATCGTTGACTTGGACTTTAAACGCAATTTATCGTGTCTGTTTGTCCGTTTGTCTGTTTGGGAAGTTGTCGATTGTTTTTATTAAATAAACGTTAAAACATCTGAACTGCTCAGGCATACAGTTATTTGTCAACTAAAATGACCCCGGGGAAGGTTTACAGCTGATCGTTGTGGAAATAATTTGCCCGATAGAAATGTTGACATTCGTTATTTTTGAAAATGCACCAATTTAAACAGAAAACCCCGCGAGAATTAATATGTTGTCGGAGAAATATAAGACAAAATGACGACTTGAAAATAACAGTTAAAAGTTAAAACTTTCACTAGTAAAGAGAGCGCCCTATGGAGCGTCGAATCATAAAAAAATCTTGAGTAAGTTGAAAAAGTTTGTACAAAATGATATTACCCAGCCTGGACGGAGATGTAACAGATATCTCCCAGTTTCCTTCACTCATTCTTTTCCCGCTCATCCTGTAATATTCTTATAACAACACTCGCCTCCACATAATAAAATTTTCTAAAATAAATACTTTTGCAAACTTATCTTCTATATCAAGTTGTCAAATTTTAAAATTTCAGATGTTTACACCATAAGATTGCAAAGATATACATGGATGAAAAAATTAGAGTTTGTAGTAAGTAATCATTTACTTTGTTTTGATTTTGGTTCCCAATTGTCCATGCTTACAAATAAAACTTTCATTACATTACATCTTTAAGGCCAAGACATTTAAATGTATGTTGCCTCAGGCCAGCCAAACGGCTGAGCCGAATGGGCTGACATTTTTTGTGGACAATCATGGGTGGCCGTGAGATGTTTTAGGCTAAAAATAGAAATTGTTTATAAATTTTTTTTTCAATTTTTTTTCCATGGCAACGCCCGGCCCTATAGCTAGTATGCACATGAAAAAAAGAAGCAATTAAAAAATAGTTAAATGAAGAATCACAAAAAAAAATAAAAATCTTTAAAAGAATTAAAAGAAGAATTCAAAATGAGTTAAAGAATGAATTAAAGGAAGAGTTAAAGGAAGAATTGAAAAAATGAGTTAAAGAATGAATTAAAGGAAAAATCAAGGGAAGGATTGAAAATAAAGTTAAAGAATGAACTAATGGAAGAATTAAAGAATGAATTAAAGGAAGAGTTAAAAGAAAAGTCAAAGAATGAATTAAAGAATAAAGGATGAAATAAAGAATGAATTGAAGAATAAATAAAAGGATGAATTGAAGAAGAAATTAAAGATTGAATTAAAGGTCAATTTGTCAAAGAATGAATTAAAAGAAAAATTTAAGAAAGAATTTAAGAATGAATTAAAGAATGAATTTAAGAATGAATTAAAGAATGATATAAAGAATAAATTAAAGTATGAATTAAAGAATGAATTAAATAATGAGTTAAATAATGAGCTAAAAGAAAAGTTAAAGAAAGAATCAAAAAAATGATTGAAGGAAAATTAAAGAATGAACTAACGGAACTTTGACAGGTGGAAAAAAAAGGTTAAAGATAGTGTTAGGGGAAAACTTGAAAAAAAGATTCAAATCGATTACAAGAAAAATAAAGTTTTACGTTCCCCCCCCCCTCAGAAAATTTAACACTTAATAGCAAGAAAGAAAAAAAAAGAAGAGTAATTCCGATCTCATGTCGTTGTTTAAAAAAAATTTGAAAAGTTTAAGATCAAAGTAAATAAATATTTAATAAAGATTGGGCAAATAATTTTGAGACCTGAAACACACAGATTTTGCTTTATTATTGATTATTGATGTGTCATTTTTTTCTTTATATACGCTTTAAGAGTGAATCTTTATTTCTGAAATAAATTCAAAATTGAGGTGGCTTTTTAAAACAGAAATAATATCTTATTTTTACAGATTCTAAAATTAGACATCCCTTGAATTAGCAAAAAAGGTTTATATGAAATCTCTGAAGACCCCTTTTTTGTGAAAATTACATTAAAAATTGTTGTGTTATTTAGATCTTAAAATAAATCCCCCCGATAATTTTTTATTTATATCACAAACACTTAACAAAAATATGATTTATCTCTTGGCATGTTTTTTAATTCCTCGTAAAAAAGTGTTTTAACAAGTTTTTGGTATAAAAATACATTCCACTTTAATTAAAACCTTCCGTGATAGGGTCAAACAGAAAAGCTCAACAAATTTCGGTTTTCATAAAGATCTCACGAGGACTCTTGAGGTCTGAATTAGGGAGCTAACTTTGATTTTAATTTTCTCAAAAAAAAAGCTCGACACTCAAATCGACAGTGATCCTTATTAAAAATTACCTCATAGTCAAAGCTGAGATAAATTTTAAGCTTTTTTAACTTACGTGGATATTTATATGCAGAAGCTCTACTACCGGACTAAATACAGTTCTCAGGCATATTTCTGAATAATTATTATTATTAAATATTTTCAGTATAAGTATTTTCAGTATTTATCAAATATCTACCTTAGAAATATAGATAAACTTCTTTTAAAAATCTCTGCTGACGAAACTTCGAGCTTTAGTCTGTAATGGGATATCTGCCCTTTTAATACCTGTGTTCTGCATATTCAATATCTTAATCTGTCATATCATATATATATACATACCTCTGTAATATCTGAATATTTGATATCTAACTCTCTGTAATATCTGTATATTCAATATCTGACTCTGTCATATCTGCCTATGTAATATATTTATACCTCTGTAATATCTGAATATTTGATATCTAACTCTCTGTAATATCTGTATATTCAATATCTGACTCTGTCATATCTGCCTATGTAATATATATATACATACCTCTGTAATATCTGAATATTTAATATCTGACTCTCTGTAATATCTGTATATTCAATATCTGACTCTGTCAAATCTGTGATGTATACCTCTGTAATATATGACTCTGTAATATCTGTCTATATGGATATATATATTATTCTAGTTTTTAAACTTCACATTTTCTTTTAAAAAAATTATACTAAACATAATGTCATCCTCAGTCAAAATATCCTCAGTAGTCAAAATATAGATCTGCAATATCTGGAAATACAATATCTGACTCTGTAATAAATCTGCCAATGAAGAATTTACCTCTGTAATATCTGCCTATGTAATATATAACTCTGTCATCATATCTGCCTATCTTATATCTGTCTATGAACTATGTGCCAATGGAATATCAGTGATGAAACAAAACGCCCAATTGAACAAAATGTTCAATAACAAAGCACCCAAAACATATCATCTAAACACAAAACACCCAAGATTTCAAAATGTTCAAAGCCACAAAAAGCCCAAATAATAAAATGTCCAAAACTTAAAAAATATCCAAAGTTACAAAATGTCCAAAGATATTCAAAATTACAAAATGTCCAAGGTGACAAAATATCCTAAATTTTCTAAAAATGTCAAAATAATTAAATGTTTAATTATTAATTATTAATAGTTACTAAGTTCCATGGCTCAGTAACATAAGAAATAGTTACACAATCTAAAGAAAGGCAAATGTTAGAAAATAAATGAAACGTTTTTTCAAGCTTATATTCCATCGCATTTAAACATAAAAATAGTTCAAATGAATCAGAAATAGCTCAAATGTACAGTATTTGTAAAGGAATAAATATCTACTGTAGAGAAAACATGTACCATATATGTAAAGGAAGAAATATCTACTGTAGAGGAAACATGTACCGTATTTGTAAAGGAATAAATATCTACTGTAGAGGAAACATGTACCGTATATGTAAAGGAATAAATATCTACTGTAGAGGAAACATGTACCGTATATGTAAAGGAAGAAATATCTACTGTAGAGGAAAGATGTACAGTATATGTAAAGGAATAAATATCTACTGCAGAGGAAACATGTACCGTATATGTAAAGGGAAAAATATCTACTGTAGAGGAAACATGTACAGTATATGTAAAGGAAGAAATATCTACTGTAGAGGAAACATGTACAGTATATGTAAAGGAATAAATATGAACTATTTTTTTGTTCATTTGAACAAGAAAGTGCCTTAACCCAGCCTAAACCTGGATCAATACATACATTTAAACTATTTCTTGGTTCAGTTGAACTATTTATATAATCATTGTTTGAACTCCTTGCCTCAGCGTTTGGCCCCTAGCCTGTCCTAGGCGCAGTGCTCGGCCCAGGAACCGTCTCAACCTAACCTATCTCTGAAAAAATACAATTTCTTATTAAAATGAACAAAAAATAGTTCAGCTAAACAACAAAAATAGTTCAAATGAATGCATTATTTCAGGGTTACGTTGGGTTAAGACAATTTCTGGGCCGAGCGCTGTGGCTCGGACAGGCTAGGGGGCTGAGCGCTGCGATTATTAGTTCAAATGAAAATAAAAATAAAAAGCGCCAAAAAATTGAAAACTTGAATATTTTGTTATTTTGGACATTTTGTAATATTGGACATTTTGTTATTTTTGGACATTTTGTTTTTTTTGGACGTTTTGTTTTTGGACATTTTGTAATTTCGGACATTTTGTAGCTTTTAAATTTTGTAACTTTGAACACTTAGTAAATTTGGGCTTTTTGTTATCTTGGGTGTTTTGTTATTTGGGTGTTTTGTTTTTGGACGATTTGTAACATTGGGCGTTTTGTTTTTGGATGATGTGTAATTTTGGGTGTTTTATTTTTTGGGCGTTTTGTATCCACTCAGAAATATCTGCCAAAGAAATAATAACCGCTACTATGAAACATATGCCTATGTACTATCTGTCTTTTTAGTATCTCCTTATGTTGTGTTTTCTAAGTAATGTCTACCTATTTAATATCTGCCTATGTAATATCTTCCTATGTAATATCTGCCTATACATTATCTGTCTATGTAATATCTTCCTATGTAATATCTGCCTACGTAATATCTTCCTATGTAATATCTGCCTATACATTATCTGTCTATGTAATATCTGTCTATGTAATATCTGCCTATGTAATATCTGCCTATGTAATATCTGCCTACGTAATATCTTCCTATGTAATATCTGCCTATATAATATTGTCCTCCGTAATATCTTCCTATGTAATATCTTCCTATGTAATATCTTCCTATGTAATATCTGCCTACGTAATATCTTTCTATGTAATATCTACCTATGTAATATCTGCCTATGTAATATCTGCCTATATAATTTTTTCCTACGTATTTTCTTCCTATGTAATATCTTCCTATGTAATATCTGCCTATGTAATATCTGCCTATGTAATATCTGCCTATGTAATATCTTCCTATGTAATATCTGCCTTTGTAATATCTGTCTATATAATATTGTCCTACGTAAAATCTTCCTATGTAATATCTTCCTATGTAATATCTTCCTATGTAATATCTGCCTATGTAATATCTGCCTATGTAATATCTTCCTATGTAAAATCTTCCTATGTAATATCTGCCTAAGTAATATCTGCCAATGAAATATCGGTCTATGTAATATCTTCATTACAGCGAATTGACAACGTTACTAACAGTGTGTCATTTCAACTTTTATCACATTTCGGCTATTTTCATGTTTGTTTGTACTGTACAAATTTACAAGTAACAATGGATTCTAAGGAAGCTAACCCCGTCAGATGTTCATTTCTAATGAATTTGGATTAAAGAATATCGTTGATGGCACTTCTTAAAGGAATTGGGTTATTCAAAACTAAATTGAAAATCCATTTAAAAATTGTTTTTGAGGCTGAATTTAGAAAAATATCTACTTCATCCCTCTCTGATAAATGTCTAACCCTGAGCTAATATTGGAGACTGTGTAAACTGTTTAGAACCTGAACCTTGAAAACTTTCCTGAGAACTGACAGTCTCAGTTCTCGCCAGGGATCATCAAGAAATCATTTTTCGTAGAAAAAGTAAAATAAAACTAGTTTTTTGAAAGTTATAAAATGTGTGAAAAATTACAATTGCTTGTATTAAGTTTTATTACATTTTTTCAATCTCTTACGAAATTACATGATATAACTGAAAAGTGAACTGATTTGAGTATTTGTCACAAACTCTGATTTCATAATATATTTGCAACCCAACCCTTAATATTAAATTTCAAACTAAAATTTTCTGAGTTTGAAATTTTTGAGGTTGTAAAGGTATAGGGATTAGAAAATTTGAGTTGGTGGCAAATACTTAATTCATAGAAAACAAAGAACACAAAAAGTTTCGGGTATTTAGTAATACTTTATTGGTTTTAACTATTTGATAAAATAACAATAAAAGATAACAGAATACATATCATATAACAAATGAATAACAGAATATATTTTAGATTGAAAGCCGGACATATTTTAAATTTTGTCATGAATAATGAAAATGTTATGCTAAATATTTGCCAAAATTTACCATCTAATAATATTATATATTGATGAAAGACATTTTCTTTAAACTATTTTGGCAATTAAGCTTTTAATTTTTATAAAACATTTCGACTGGATGCAAATTTTTTGACGGAAATATTAAAAATTATTTACAAACTTTACAAAATTATTTTCCACAAACTTTCTAACGTCATTCCATAAAATCTGTTAATTTTTAACAATTCGCTTTTAATGTCGTTCTTATTTTTATTACATTGTTTACTTGTAAAAGGTTTGTAAAAAGTGTTCTGAGGTCAAGTTTCTTTAATTAATACAAGGTCTCCGCCACCCAGTCTATATACATGGCAATATTTGTGTATACTCCAGGTAAGTGAGCTCTAAAAATAAAAATATTAATATCGTGAAAATTAAAAAAAAAAAAATCCATTTTTTAATAAAAGCAATTTTGTGTCCATATATTCCTTCTTTGAAGGCAAATCAGATATGGAAATATATTTGACATCTTAAAAGGAAGTGTTCTAAAAATAACTTTTCAAATATTATTGTTAAGTTTTTATATGTATTGTAATTTACAGCGGAGGCTTGAGTTAGAAAGTTAGGTTTGATGTTTCTAAAAGTAGAATTGGTTTGCACAAAACTTCAATAATACTTTCAACTGCATTCTAGCACCAAGCACGGTACCTTCACAGTAGATAATTTGAAACTAAACAATAAGTTCAGGGAGCAAGGAGTCACACAAATATTATTTGAATCCTCTCTGATCTATGAAATTCAATGTAAATTGAACAAAATGTGTGCCGAAGTCTCAAATTGTGGTCCCTATATGGTTTCATGGTTCTAATGTTTAAATAATTTATCTATATACTATATACCTGGCACAGCCTATTCCCCAGCTGACCAGCCCAATGACCTGATATCTACCATTGATTGGAAGCACTAGAGGACTACCACTGTCACCCTACAACAGATGAAACTTAAAGAAGTAAAATGGGATAAATGAAAGGAGGAACGGAAAATGTGTTAAAGTAAAAAGGAGAATTGATTAAGTAAAGGTTAAGAGAAAAAGGAAAATTGGGTAAAATAAAGCAGAAAAGAAGAATTGATATTTCAAAGAGGAGAAAGGAGTCAGAGAAGGAGAGGAGAAGGAGAATGGGGTAAAGGGTGTAAAGAAAAGAAGGACAGGAGAAAGAGAATAGGATAAAGGAAGGAAAGGAGAAAAGGAAAGAGATGGAGAATGTGATAAAAGAAAGGATAAAATGAAAGAGATTAAGGAATGGGATAAAGGAAAGGAGAAAAGGAAAGAAATTAAGGATGTAATAAAAAGAAGGAGAAACGAAAAGAAATTAAAGAATGTAATAAAGGAAAGGAGAAAGAAATTAAGGAATGTAAAAGAGGAAAGGTAGAAAAGAAAAGAAATGGAGAATGTGATAAAGGAAAGTAGAAAATGAAAGTAATGGAGAATGGGATAAAAGAAAGATGAAAGGAAAAGAGAAGGAGAATGTGGTAAAGGAAAAAGAGGAGAAGAAAAGAAAAAGGAGGAAAAAGTAAGAAAGAAATTGGACAATTGTTGCCATAACAGGAGAGAAAAAAAGGCGTAATATTGGTAAATGAAGAATGAAGAATTATAAAACTTGAACTGAAAGAAAAAAGAAAAGTATAATGATGAGAAGAATGTGAAGAAGAAGAATTGGTACAAACCTGACAACTGTCCTTTCCTCCCCCTTCATATCCAGCACATAAGAAGTTTTCAGGATATATCTTCTCTTTTCTAAATATATATATCATATAATAGAACAAGATATTGGTATATGTGTTACCAATAATCGGCCAAACAGCTGGACCGAATGAGCTGTTGTGGACTATCATGGGCGGCCGGACGGTGTTTTAGGCTTTAAAAAAATTATTAATATTTTCTTCCCATTTTTTTCCACGGGCAACGCCGGGCCCTTCAGCTAGTATTATAATAAAACAAGACATTCATATATAAATGTTGCGTATAGCCGGCCAAATGGCTGAATCGATGGGGCTAAATGTGGGCACTCATGGGTCGCCGGGGGGTATCTAAAGGGCTTTAAAAAATTCGAAATTTTTTTTTTCAAATTTTTTTTATTTAACATTTTTTTTCAATTTTTTTGTTCCACGGGCAACGCCGGACCTTTTAGCTAGTAAATTATATATTAGTTTTTAGGATATAAATTATATATATATATATCCTCTCTTTTCTATATATACATATATATATATCTATAAAATAAAACAAGACATTCGCACATATGTTGCGTATAGCCGGCCAAACGACTGGACCGATTGGGCTGACATTTTTTGTGAACACTTGAAAAAAATGTTCAAATTTTTGTTCCACGGGCAACGCTGGGCCCTCTAGCTAGTATATCATATTAGTTTTCAGGATATATTTTTTATAAATCAGAAATGTATGGCCCAAAACAAAACTTAAATTGTCGGTCAATGGTCATTATAACTTGTATAATTTCAATATGTTAAAGTTTCCTTATTTAATATTTGTCGTATTTTTTTACATTATGAAGAATATTTGGTTACGATACAAATAAAAAATATAATTGGCAACATATATTTGCTGTAAAAAATCAGTCAACCAACTTAAATATTTTAATATGTTTTTTATTGTTAACAAAATCATAAATTTTTTATTTCACTTTAATAACCCACAAAATATGTTTTAGAGCTAAAACTGAAAATAACCTTTTAGAAAAAAACAAAAGTGTTTTTCAGGTACTTTTTATTTTTTTAGAATTGGAATGAAAATATTGATATTTCTTGGATTTAAAACAGCTTGCAAACATGATCATCAGCAACTACATCTGTTTCTGTAGATAAACAAGGTTAAGTAAAAGGATCGAGGGTACTTTTGTGAATTAGACGCGCTCCTCTACAAATGGAGGGTCACTTAAAGGAAGGGAGGGGGGGATATACCTGCTAGCAGAGCTAAACCACGACTGACATTTCTCTGCTGAAATGACCTGTACCTTTACTTCCTGAATAATATAAAACATATTAATAATTAATTATTTTATTTTTTTTCAAGTGAATATTTTATTATTTAATTACTCTAATTGATCAATTATTTCCCCTTGAATGAATTGAGGAAGAAACAGTTAACAGTAATATTTTATCAATATTGTATTTAAATGTATGATGCTAAGGCCTGTTCTTAGAGTGAAGAAACAGTTAACAGTAATATTTGATCAATATTGTATTTGAATTTGATGCTAGGGACTGTTCTCAGAGTGAATAAAAGATTGAAATATCTTCAAAATTTTAAAAACCTTAATTTTTCCTTAAAACGGAGTTTCTCCGTAAAATGAAAAAGTATAAAAGATGAACTATAAATATTAATATTAATTATTAAATATAATAAATATTAATTATTAAGTCTCACTGTTTCAATAGATCCAAAATTTGTATGTTCTCACTTTTTGGTTCGTTTTTAAACATTCGCATGTGAGGTCTCTTAAAATTAAAGCCATACTCCATTTAAGAATAAGGCCAAAATGAAAAATAAAACAATTCGTTAAATCTTTCTAATAAATCATCTTTTGTCAGAGAAAAAATGTTTTTTTATGTAATAAAAGCAAGTTCACAGAGTATACAATTATAAAAAATGGAGATCATCTCAGATTCTTGTGAAGTCTCTTCGAAGTAAATAAATTGAATATTTAAAGGGACTGCATACATAGTTTCAAGTGACCATTTATTTCAAGATTGGCACTCACGATTCAGAATTGTACATTTGTTCATCTTTATCTATTTGTACATTTGTATCTAAGAAACAATGGCGAAGACGTCGTTCTTTTCCATCTTTAAAAAAATGACGCTCTTTGTCTTTGGTACATACAATCCGAAAGTTATTTTTACAGGCAAGTGATTATTTGCAAACTTTCACTTTATGTATGTACAGTCGTCGTCGTATAAATCAATACAATAAAGACGACTTTTTATTTCAATCTTCATTTCTATCAATCATTCACACAGCAGCTACACATTAGCATGTAAACAAATATAAGTTGTGAACTAACAGCTTCTCTTCCTTCACTTGAAATTTGAAAAATGGTTGTTAGGGATCAAAGCATTATTGATAAAAAATCGTGTTCATTGTATTGATGTGATCGGCGACCACTGTGGCACTACCTGAAGGAGTGAAGGAGTTTGAGAGACACCATGTTCCGTTCTACCCCAACCAATCACAGAAGCAAACTCACCAACAAACTGCTGTCTGAACATTATAATGTAAACAAGGTGGAAAATAAAATCGATTTTAGTTTTAATCTTTGAGAATCTCGGAAACATGCTTTTGAAGTTCCAGGGTGCACCTTCTTTTCATATTTCCTTCTTTTTAAACAGGATTTTAATATAACCTCTTGGAAGTTGGTCCTAAAGCCTTTCAAATCTAGATTTTTTTATACTCATTTGGATTTTATAAACTTATTTGGATATTTTATACGTTATTTGGATATGTTTTTCTCATTTGGATATTTCATATACTTATTTGGATATTATACAGACTCATTTAATTTCAATTTATTTTAAATCGCATGTTGTCTATTATTCAATCAACTTTAAAATTACGAAATTTCCGTTTCTCACTTTTTCATAAACGTATCCACTTACACAAACGTATAAAAGAAAAAAGAGTTACAGCTAGCTGGGATAAAGACCGAACTGCAGTTTAATCAGCGTGACGCTGTATCTGTAATTTATTCTAAATTATTTTACTGAATACTTTTATGTTTAATTTTCCCACGTTGTTTTCAATCCATTTTCTCACAGTATGACTATTTTAGCATAGTGAAATTAATTTGGAAAAAAACGCGACAATGAATACAATTCAGGATATGTTTGAAGATGGAAAACCTGGCATTTTCTTTAAAACGGTCAAGGGTTTTGATATTAAAAACACTATTTTATTAATTTTGATTTTAGAAAAAGTTTAAAATTGGGAATTTTTGTCCTCGTCATCTTAGTTTTAACTATTGGCTTTTATTCTCGATATGGGCCGGGATCCTAAAACCCCAGTTTTTCATTTGTGCCCTTGTCTAACATTCAGTGTTAGAAAAGGGCCACTATCCCGTTTTGGAACTAATGTCCCCTGAAATAGATTATACTGAATTCTTGTTTCTGCAGTCTTTCACAAATTCGACTTGAGGCCGTGACTAAATTTATCAAAGTACAGGGTTACACACAAAGAATAGATTTAAAAGACGACTTGCTTCTGATTACATCATTATGATCTGAAGGGTGAAATTTTACCTTTGATATAGTTAGTTAATGATATAACAAATGATATTTGGCAAAGAACAAACAAATTTATAAATGCAAGAAACCATAAATTGAAGAATATCGACAGAATGAATTCCGTACATTCTTGACTTAAGTCTCATCCTTTGCTGGCAACCATTTTAAGAAACATTTGAGAAAAGCTTATCATCATGTTTTCTAGGAATAATAGTAATTAATGCTGTACCTGAATCCTGGTAGGCAAACTGGGATTATGTGCTCTTTGAAGACGACATCTTGGGTCAGCCTCACCAGTGCTATATCATTCCTTTACAAGATTCAAAAATTATGTTGGATTTTGATTAGTTAGAAAATTTCTTTTTGCGCAAACTTCTTTCTGCGTAAACTTCAGTCTTTGTAAGCTTCTATCTATGTAAACTTCTATCCGTGGAAACTTCGTTTATCTGAAACTTCTATCGGTGAAAACTTCTATCTCTGTAAACTTTTATTTGTGTAAACTTCTATCTATGTAAACTTAAGTCTGTGTAAACTTCTATCTATGAAAGCTTCAATATGCATAAAAACTTCTTTTTGAGCAAACTATATCTGTAAATTTCATGTCTGGTATAGCTTTAGCATGAATCTTAAAATGTCTGGTATATCTCTCGCATGAATCAATAAATGTTTGGTATACCTTCAGCATGAAACTATAAATGTCTGGTATACCTTTAGCATGAAACTATAAATGTCTGGTATACCTTTAGCATGAAACTATAAATGTCTGGTATACCTTTAGCATGAAACTATAAATGTATGGTATACCTTTAGCATGAAACTATAAATGTCTGGTATACCTTTAGCATGAAACTATAAATGTCTGATATACCCAAAGAGAATAGAATATATATTAGAGGGGAATTTAGAGAATCTCTCGGTATGAAATTTTTCAGTCCCTTTTCAGCCTGAAAGGGAGTTCAAAGTGTACAAATCATGTAAAGGTTCACAAATTATATGCAGTAGAGTACATTAATATAGTATGTTCCCAAGGCTATCCATTTCAATTTCGAATTTTTTAAAGCTGTTAAATAAACTATAAAATGAATTAGGTGAAAAAAAACATCATTTGATTTATAGTCATAACGAAAAATCATCGTTTGTAAAGTGAAAGGCATAGAGTCTATGTGAAATGATAATTGGTCAATTATGAAACCAGCCTATTTCATAATTTAATTTTCTTTTAATATTAACTTTAGATTTTCTATGAAATGATGTTCCAGGGCCCAAAAGGTTATATGGCATAAATATGTGAAGTACACTTGCAGTATGGAAACAGTAATACAAAATGGCCGTTTTACACTTTTTCTAGTAAATTCCCCTCTAATATATATTCTATTCTCTTTGGGTATACCTTCAGCGTGAAACTAAAAAGTCTGGTATACCTTTACCATGAAACTATAAATGTCTGGTATACCTTTAGCATGAAATTATAAATTTCTGGTATAACTTTAGTATGAAACTATAAATGGCTGGTATACTTTTACCATAAAACTCTAAATGTCTGGTATACCTCTAGCATGAATCAAAATGTCTGGTATACCTCTAGCATGAAACTATAAATGTCTGGTATACCTTCAGTATGAAACTAAAAATGTCTAGTATACCTTTACCATGAAACTATAAATGTCTGGTATAACTTTAGCATGAAACTATAAATGTCTGGTATACCTTTACTATGAAACTATAAATGTCTGGTATACCTCTAGCATGAATATATATGTCTGGTATACATTTAGCATGAAACTATAAATGTCTGGTATACCTTCAGTGTGAAACTAAAAATGTATAATATACCTTTACCATGAAACTATAAATTTCTGGTATACCTTTAGCATAAAACTATGAATGTCTGGTATACCTAAAGTCTGCTGGACTGTATTCTGGATGAACAAACTTCTCTTCTATTTCAAAATCTTCATGAGGCAACCTTAAACATTTTATTATAGTTTTATTCTATATATTATTATAGCTCAGTTCATACATATTTATATATGTATTGGTGTTTGTATATATATTTATATGTTAGCTTTAGCTGGCCTAACGACTGGGCCGAATTGGCTGACATTTTTTACATTTTTTTAAGAAACACATGTAACAAAGGCTAAAAAAAATCAGAAATGGATTTTTTTCAAAATTCAAATTTTTTTAAAATTCCACGGGCAACGTAGGGAACTTTGCTTGTAACTTATATTCAATTATAATTTTCATATTTATTATAATTATTGATTTATCATTTCTCTTCATTATTGTTATCATTACTGTTGTTATGGTTGTTATCATTCTTATTTCTTATCATAATCATGTACATCAAAATTATCTATAATGCTTACTTTACGTCCCTTGGGCCGATTGAGTAAAATAACGACCCATGCTCTTCCAGGTTTTCGTCCAAAAATTTGCGCATATTCATCTCAAAAGACGATAAAACTGTGTACAACTACTAAGTCAGAAAATTAACAATTTTACTTAACCACGGGTTCCCTTGATTTCCCTGTAAAGTAGTTGTAAATAGTTATAATTACCTTTCACTCTGTGATCTAACATTCCATTCACCAAGTCTCACTTTCATTCTTGATGTTTGTGTACTAAAATAAATTGAATATTTGTCTTCAATCAACCAGGTAAAATTCTGAACAAATTATTAAACTAATATTAAACCCATTCCAAGCTTAACAGATTTTCTAACCAGGAAATATAGTTTAGATGAGTTGACAGATTTTTGATCGAAACTAATGTGTTTGCAGACACTGTAAGGTTGATGATATCCGGCAAATTGTAAGATATATAACCATACATTATCATATATAAGTATTCGTTTATGAAAGTCATCTTAGTAATAACAAGCCGAAAATGAGTTTATATCTGAACTTTTTGGGCAACCCGGAAATATTAAAATATCTAAAATCATATCTTATTCAAGTGCTACAAACTAAATTACTATAATTTCATTAATAAGCTAAAGATCAAGGTCTGGATAAAACTTTTTGTTCTGAAATCTAGATTTATAAATTTATTATAATATATTGTTCTAAATCTACAATCTAGGTGATATATAAATAATTGGTTTATTATTTATTCTTGGATAATTCTCATATTAATAAAATCTACGGAAAATAATTGCTTCCTGTTTAAATTATTTTTCTGTAAAACCTATTTTCATTCAAACTTCTGTCTGAAAAAAAACTTTTTATGCGAAAACTTCTATTTGTGTAAACTTGTGTTTATTTACACTTATTTGTATGTACTCGATTATACTATTCACGTAAACTTCTATCTATTTAAACTTCTATTTACGTAAACTTCTATTTACGCAAACTTCTATTTACGTAAACTTCTATTTACGTAAACTTCTATTTGTGGAAACTTCTATTATGTAAACTTATATTTGCCCACACTTCTATTTATGTAAACTTATTTTTGTGTAAATTTCTACTTACGTAAATTTATCATTGCGTAAACTTCTATTTGTGTAAACGTATATTTATGTAAACTTATATTTGGGTAAACTACTATTTGTGTAAATTTCTGTTTGCGTAAACTTCTACTTGTATAAACTTGTATTTATGTAAACTTCTATTTGTGTAAACTTCTATTTCTGTAAATTTCTATTCGTGTAAACTTCTATTCGTAAAAACTTCTATTTGTGTAAACTTCTATTTATGTAAACTTCTATTTATGTAAACTTCTGTTCATGTAAATTTCTATTTATGTAAACTTCTAATAATGCAAACTTCTATTCGTGAAATCTTCTATTTTTGTAAAATTTCTATGTGTGTAAACTTCTATTCGTGTAAACTTCTATCGGCGTAAACTTCTATGTAGTTCAACTTCTATTTGTGTAAACTTCTATTTACGTAAATCGTTTAAACTTATTTTTATTTAAAGTTCTTTAATTGCGTAAACTTCTATTTGGTTAAACTTTTAATTATGCAAACTTATTTTTTTTAAACTTCTTTAATTGCGTAAACTTCTATTTGTGTAAACTTTTCTTAATGTAAAATTCGGTTTATGTAAATTTCTATTCGTGTAAACTTCTATTTATGTAATTTTATATTTGCGTAAACTTCTATGTGTGTAGACTTCTTTTTGCGTAAACTTCTATTTGTGTAAAATTTAATTTATGTGAACTTATTTTTGTGTAACTTTCTATTTATGTAAACTTCAATTTGTGTAATTTTGGTCATTAAAAACTTCTTTCAGTGAAGGTTTTGTCTCTGGCCTTTATCTTTAAAACTTCTGTCTTTGAAAACTTATATCTGTGAAAAATGTAATCTGTTAACTCATGCATATTAAAGCATTTGTCTGAGTAAACCTTTTTCTTTGAACATTTTTATCTTAATTGATGTTTTATTTTTTAAATCTTCTGCTTCTTTACGTTTTAAAACTCCAATATATACAGTGATTACCAGAAAACTGTAAAATAGGAAGACGACATTTGAAGTACATTTGATGGTGTTACAAAGCAAATAGCTTTACTAGTAAAATATTAAGTCACTTATTAAGTGAAATGAATCTGTTAACACTGCACAATTGCTGTGCCTCGTGTCCATTAGCTTTGTTAAAGTCAGAACTTGAGTCTAAATGTCGTCTTCCTATTCCAGAGTTTACTGGTTATTACTGTAGTATAATTTTCTAACGTAAATATACTACCTATATACACAGTGGGCTGCTGTGATGATATACTACCTATATACACAGTGGGCTGCCGTGATGACATACTACCTATATACACAGTGGGCTGCCGTGATGATATACTACCTATATACACAGTGGGCTGCCGTGATGACCCATCGTTCGCTTATCAAGGCTCCACCACAGCTTATTCGTTTAGAGAGCAGAGACTCTTTTATAATTGCAGCCTAAAATGTATTACATTATTACATTATTACATAACATATTCAAATAAATTCAAATGTAGGGATCTTTAACATACTCTGTATTAATATTAGGACAAAAGGCTAAAAAATCATGACGTCCTAAAATACAATATTTTGTACGCAAAGAATTAGAATTTGAATTTGTAATTCAGTTAAACACATAAAACAACAATCCTTTTATAGAGTTCTTTTGTTAAAAGAAAATATTGACAGATTGCAAGATGAAGCCATCAACGTTAGAAATTGATAAATTTTAAAAAAATGATTAATTGATATAAGAATCATTTGTTTAACAATATAAACCGATTAATAAATCTACCAGAAGTCAAAAATTTTGATCGAGATGGATAAAGATACGCATTGTATCTTTTTCTTGATCAAGGGATTAACAATACAAAAGTTTTGACCTACGCTATAATGTGAAATATCAAGAAATATTGAATAGTTTTGATCATTAATTTAGCATGAAATTTACACAAATATTGAAATAAGAAAATGAAACAACAATTTCTATCAATGATGAAACCATCTTATACAATTAATTGTTTTAGAATGATTGCATGTTTAATTACTTTATTGATTAATTGATGTCTAAACCTACCATTCAAGGATGAATTAATTGTTGTCCAAACCTACCGTCCAAGGATGAATTAATTGTTGTCCAAACCTACCATCCAAGGATGAATTAATTCTTGTCTAAACCTACCATCCAAGGATGTCCTCCGAACTGTGTATCATCTCCTCCTACTATCCTGAAACTACCAGCATACACCTCACCACATTCTGAAATTAGTTATTCGTTTATTCATCATCCTCTTTCTATTTTTATCTTTTATCCATCTTTATCATCCTTAATTATGTATTCATCATGGTTTATTTATTCATCGAATTCTCCTAAATCAATTATCGAAATATAAACTAAACCTTTATTTATTCATTTATTATGATTTTCCCCATCCTTAATCAAATTGTCATCCTTTTTCCTTAAATCAAATTCATTCTAATACTATCCGTATATTCTTTTTCCCATATTTATCTCATTTATTCATCTTAACTTACTAATACTAATTCTTCTTATTCATTATTCAAAGAATGGTACGACGAGAATGAATAAAAAGAACAAGTGGAAAATTGTTATAAATTGATAAACATATAATTTTATGGAGTTGAAATATTTTAAGAAAAATTTTTAAACATTATTTAGATTCTAATAAAATAAACCAATACACATGCATAGGTATAAATATGATGACATAATGATTCCGCTGTAGAATATTTGTGATTTGTAAATTTCTTCTGATAATTATGCCATGTGTTTAATATTGCATGATATGACTATTGTATAATATACATTTACAAAGTACGTGCGAAAGTGAATGATCTGAGTAATTTACAAAAATTAACAATCTACGAAATCCCAATCGTTCGGTTCCCGACCCTATATTTCATGCAACTCTAAATGATGATGATGAAGGGTGTCACACGAATTAACATGACAGCAACACGACGACTTAAAGGTCGTCTTTGATCTTTGAAAAAGTTTGCGTTATTTAAATGTAAACCTAACTTTAGAATTAAAATTCTAGATTTATTTTTTACAAAATAGACCCTGTCCTGGCATTTCCCAAAAGTAGTCTCTTTTGTGAACATATAGCTCATAATATCTCCGGTAATATTGACAGTGCTGGAGGTAAGGTCATGTTTTGGAAATGACAGGACTACGACAATGTTGTGATTATTGTTTCAAGAATCACACATGTAAATGTAACTGTAAATGCCACAAAAAAATATAGACGACGACATCTTTAAGTCGTAAGTCTTCTGTCATGTTTCATGGGACACCCTACACCATAAATATGTTTAAGTAACAGAATGATTAGAGCACTGGGAATCAGACGTCTGAATGCACTAATCAAGTAATCTTTATTAAACGCAGAACTTTTGTTGTAAAACTATTCAAATCAAAATGTGGAATATGAATACGAGTGAAATGGTAATGTGTACACTGCAGAATTGCTATGTTTAAGGTAATTGGACTATATATTAAACCATAAATTGAGTCAAACAGTTGCTTTACAGACTGGAATTTAAATGGTTTTTTATCATGCTTAGAATGAAAATTATTGAATTGGAAATTAAAACTTGACATTTCAGAGTCAGACACAGAACTATTCTGAAGCATTCTTATCTGAGATTTCCAAAATAAAAAATCACGTTTATGTATTCATTCTTATATATATATATATATATAACTACCTTTAAACATATGACATGCGTAATATGCATACACTAAATATCTCTACAATACTGTGCGCAATAATATATGAATAATAATATACTCATTCATAAATATTTAAGTTCATTAATCGTTATCAAATTCCAAAAGCATTCACAAAATTGTTCAACTAAGTTAATGGTACTATATACTACACTTATAACACATAGTTAACGAATCTAAACTATTGTTAATGTTAACTACTCTCCGTTTTTCATATGAACAAAGTGTAAGCATTTTTAAAGTATAAAATGCACAATAGTCAGTTTAAAGTTAACCCTGTAAAAAACAATTTTAATTCATGCATTAAGGTTTCTTAATCTAAAGAATTTGTATTTTGTGTTAGACTTTGTTAATCTTTAAGCACTAGTTGTATTTAAATCCACCTACTCGGGTTATTATACGAATTGGCCTGCTCAACTTCATTATTGGCCGGGTGCCCGGCGTAGCTCGCCTCGTCATAAACCGGTCGTTCAGGTCTCTCGTACTGCAGCGTGTCAGGTCTATATCCAGGGAAGAAGTCCTGATGCTCCTGTGTATCCAGAAGGGAGGTGAAGGGCGGAGAAGTTACCTCTGGAGAGAACGGAGAACGGGTAGGACGGAGTGGATAGTGGGATGGAGAGCCGGGGTTGGAAGGACGGGAGGAGAAAGGTCGAGATAGTCCTATTAAACAAGTATTTTCATATTTACGTCATTAAAGTTAACATACTATGGTTAAATTTTCCCCATTTTTAATCCAGAGACATCTCCGATCCACAACGGTACGATAAATTTTATATTCCTGAAATATGAAACCGATTGCAAACCAAACATTAACAAGCTTTTTTGTAGATAAATAAGGCTAAGTCTGTCATCTTGATCAGTGAAAGGTTTATGGGGGGTACCGTTGTGAATCAAGGATTCACCTCTTTAAGTGGATGGTCAATGGAAATTAATCTTATAGTCCCTTTAACATCAAAATGCATGATTTTTGCTTTTTGGATCAATCAAACATTTTTATTGTTCCAAATGTTTTTTTTAACTTATACTATGACGGAATTATAAGAAAATAAGAAAATAAAAAAATCTAATTAAGTTCATCTGCGACAAAATAAAAAATTTAACTGGACCAGATTTTGAAGAAAGGTGTGATATCTATTACTCTAAATAAAAAGCGTAATGGATAAGACAAAAAAAACTATTTGCAAAATATAATGCTCAGATGTAACTGTCTCTTCCTTTGCCTTTGGTTAAAAAAAAAGACATCCTACCTAGATGAGCAGGATGGGGTGGTCTATAGAACTCCTGCCTGTTCGGCTTGTATGGCCTGGGTGGTCTGGTTGGAGCGTAGAATCCTTCAGGCTCAAAGTTAAACACATCATCAAAGGAAACTGCTGGAGCTCCTCCATATGCTTGGAATAACAGTTGGATTGTAACACAGTGGTACTGAAGGGGTTTACAGATATTGTCTCGAGTCTGGTGCAGTGTGCGTCTCTAGAAACCTGCCTTTTAAGCATAAATATACGCAGATTAAAGTCTACGAAATAGATATACGGAGGTCTTAGCCTGCGATATGAATTAAAATGAGTGAAATGGACAGAGAAGGGAAGTTGGACAGAAAGTATGTTCCGGCAGAGTGTTGTTTTTATTCCTTTAAGGAAACTGAAGCAACCTATTTTTGTAAACAAAGATATACAGGTTCCCTGTATTGAGAAATTGTTATACACTCTGAACCTTGAACTGTCCAAATAGGAGAAGTTGTACACAAAAACCTACGCATTGTATGGTTGATAGATTGATAGAAGAAAAGTTTAAATACGTCAATATGTAAATTTCAATTTTATGAACTTACTTGCATTCTTTATCCCGTGTTTCTCGTTGATTTCAGCCTAATATAAAGAGAAAAAAGTATTGATATTTTGAAAAAATTAATATACTCTTTTCATAACGATTTTACTAAACTGTTAATTTTTCACCGTTCAGCTTTTAGGTCGCAAAATCTCATATTGTATACTTATTGGATATTTCAGAAACAATATTATATTCTTCGGTACTATTTTTATAAAAATGCCTTAGGCTGAGCTTTGACTTGAAATGAATTGTAGGCATTAGTTGAATTGATTTGCTTTGGTTGATTCCTTTTTTCTTATTATATTTTAGTGGAATTTGAAATGGTTTTTGTTTGGTTTGGTTTAGTTTACCTGTTCTAATATTTTGTCTCTAGGTACACAACAAGACCAGATCATACCACCATTGCAGAGATCCAGAGCCTTCAATGATTAATAAATGTATCTTTATTTCCAAATATTTAAATATAATTTATTCATGCTGAAAATTGAGTGACCCAATTGAGTGCCTGTATGAAATAAGGAAATTATATTCTATGGATTATAAAAAAATGTAATCCATGAAACTGTTGGTTTTTATATTTAATGGATATTAGTTTTTCAGCAAAATAATAAAACTAAAATTTCATACTTGAACAACGTCAGTTTATATTCATTCTAAAATTCTGCCCCCCCCCTTCCCCTTTTCCTACTCACTCCCCCCTACCCTTTCGAAATTTAGGCACCCCTTCTATACAGTTTTAAAACCTCTGACATATTTGTTGACTTACTTTAGCTCCTGAAAACACACAAGAGAGGCTGAGTCCACATTCATATCTGCTTCCTTCATACCAGCATTGGTTGGGTACAACTAGATCAACATTAACATCAACATCAACATCAGGATTAACATCAATATCAACATCAACATCAACATCAACATCAACATCAACATCAACATCAACATAAACATCAACAACAACCTACATCAATAACAACAACAACATCAACAGAAACATCAACATCAACATAATCATACACATTGACAGAAATAAAAAATGAACATAGACATAAAACATGACATCAACATCAATATTAACTTTAACATAAGTCACGTCAACAATTTTTAGTTTTAAGGGTTGGGAGGGAGGGTGAAGTATAAGTGTGGACTTTGTTATGTTGGTTGTTAGCCTAGTATCCAACCAACCCACCAACAGTTTAACGATTTTCAATGAATTTTCCCAGGCACTAATATTCTTATACAAACATACAACACATATCATAAGCTTTCCCTTCTAATAATATGTGTATCTACACATACACCATTTAATGCTTATTAATAATGTTCACAGTTCAAACAAGTTTTCTTCCCAGAATGTGAAGTATATATATATATTAGAAAAAAGGAACCAAAAAAATGCAATGATCTAATACTTTAGTTTTGTTACGACCCAACACCTCTGGCATACAGCTGAGATCAATTAATTGAAAAATTAGGTTTCAAGTCAAGGTTCAAGGTTATCTAGGTGCAGGTTTCTTCATTGTTGGTTTACTTTAGTTAATCATCCTTCAAGGAGAAAAGAGTACTGAGAGTACTTGATAACAAAAGAACTAGAGAACTAAATAACAAGAGAACTAGAGAACTAGATAACAAGAGAAATAGAGCACTAGAGAACTAGAGAACTAGATAACAAGAGAAATAGAGAACTAGATTACAAGAGAAATAGAGAACTAGAGAACTAGAGAACTAGAAAATTAGAGTAGTAGAGAACTAGAGAACTAGGAGAGAAATAGAAAACAAGAGAAATAGAGGGGAAATAGAGAACTAAAGAGCTAGAGAACTAGTAAACTAGAGAACTAGTAAACTAGAGAACTAGTAAACTAGAGAACTAGTAAACTAGAGAACTAGTAAACTAGAGAACTAGACATTTAGAGAACTTCAGAACTAGAGAGCTAGAGAACTAAAAAACAAGAGAACACAAAGGACTAGAGAACAAGAGAACATAAAGGACTAGAGAACTTGAGAACAAGAAAACATAGAGGACTAGAGAACTAGAGAACAAGAGAAATAGATAAATAGAGAAATCAAGAACTAGAGAACTAGAGAACTGGAGAACTAGAGAACTAGAGAACTAGAGAACTAGACACGTAGAGAACTAGAGTACTAGAGAACTAGAGCACTAGATAGCAAGAGAACTAGAGAACTAGATAACAAGAGAAATAGAGAACTAGAGAGGATAAAGGACTAGATAGCTAAAGGACTAGAAAAATAGAGAACTAGAGAACTAGAGACGAAGAGAACAAGAGAACCAGAGAACTAGAGGACTAGAAAACCAAAGTACTAGAGAACTAGCAAATAAGAAATTCAAAGGACTAAAAAACTTGAAAACTATTAACTATACATTTTTAGTTTCTTTTTATCTTTTCTCGTCTTTCTAACTGTGTGTCTATGTATCTATATGTTTCTTTGTCATTGTATATTTCTGTCTGTGCATATTTATGTTTGTCTGTCTGTGTATCAGTCTGGTTGTCTGTTTGTTTGTATAAGACTGACTAACCTTGAGTTTCTCCACTCCTGCCTAGTTCTAGGACTATACCTTCTCTACTTTGTCTCACTCTATACTCGGGTAGAAGATCATCCTGGAACCAATTCAACAGTCAATATATCAATCAATCAATCAAGTGTAAATATAAATATTTAAATCAACTGCATATAATATAATCGATCAATATATCAATAAAAAAATATCTATCAGTGATTGGTGTTTATTATTGATTAATCAATCAATTAATTAATCAAGCAATGATGTAATGTAATGTATTTCAAAGCAAGACAGGCTATGTCCGATTTACTGAAGAACTTATCAATACTTTAATAAAGGGCTTTGTCTGATTTTCATGAAAAGTTACTTACTACCAACAGACACTCTAGACACGACCATTATAATCACTAACTTAATTTTTCGCTCTTTTACAAGTTAATCACCTGTTTAAACTCCTGTGCTGGTTCTATTGATTGATCCGTGTGGTAGCTGTGATGTTTGAAATTAATATTATTAATCATCAGATCAATGTCTTCATATCGTTCACCACCTTCAACCCATTCATCATTGTCATCTTCACTAGACAACCCTCGCCCCTCCTTATAGTAATATGATAATAATAATAATAATAATAATAATAATAGTAATAATAATAATAATAATAATAATAATAATAATAATAATTATAATAATAATAATAATGATACTAACCTGAAATGTATGATATTGTTGTATCTCCCTGGAGTGTTTATTCCTCCAATTATTACTTCTACTTGTTTCTTCTCTTCTCTGCCCTGGATCCTATTTATAAACAAGTTCATAATAAAATAAAGTCCACATAGATCACGGCTTATAAAATATTTAAACTGTTTACAGGGACTGAAATTTCAAGTGACACGCCTTTCTAAAAATGCTTTATTCGTACTGTGTACCCTGCTGTAACTGTACTGTGTACCATGCTTTATTCGCACTATGTACCCTGCTGTACCTGTACTGTGTACCTTGCTATACCTGTACTGTGTACCCTGCTGTACCTGTACTGTGTACCCTGTTGTATCTGTACTCTGTACCCTGCTGTACCTTTGTACTGTTTACCCTTCTGTACATGTACTGTGTACCCTATTGTACCCGTAATGTGTACCCTGCTGTATCTGTACTGTGTACTCTGCTGTACCTGTACTGTGAACCCTGTTGTACCTGTACTGTGTACCCTGCTGTACCTGTACTGTGTACCTTGCTGTATATGTACTTTGTACCCTGCTGTACCAGAACTACGTGTACCCTGATGTACCTGTACTGAGTAACCTGATGTACCTGTACTGTGAACCCTGATGTACCTGTATTGTGTACCCTGCTGTACCTGTGCTGTGTACTCCTGGTTCCAGTACCCAGCTGACCCCCAGCTCTGTGCCCAAGATCCAACAATAAGGACCTGGAGTCCAACACCCAGCAGTGCTCTCATTCTTACTCAGAAGAATATCTCATTCTAGAAAGAAATATAAAATTGGAATCGAAAAAAGTCCAAATAATAATTTGCATATATTAGTTGTAGAAGTTAATTCATTGGAGTTTATTTCCTGTATATAAATTATAATTTTTATATCACTCTGCTCTGCTTGATTAAAATTGTATTATCATTCAGCTGGCATCTAGTATTCACTATTCATATTATATTTCATCCTGTAAACAAGTTTAATATTATTTACAACTACTTTACAGGGAATTTTAGTTTATCAAGGGTTCCCAACACCACTTTTGCTTACAAAACATCCATAGTGCAGAGAGGAAAGTTATCACCTTCTCTATATATTGACATTATTATTGTGTTAAATATATTATCTTCTCTATATATTTACATTATTATTAAGTTTAATATATCATCTACTCTATGTATTCACATCCATATAGTTAAGATATTATATCTACTTCATGTATTACATCCATATAGTTAAGTTATTATCTATTCTATGTATTTACATCTCTATGGTTAAGTTATTATGTACTCTTTTTATTTACATCTCTATGGTCAAGTTATTATCTACTCTATATATTTACATCTCTATGGTTGAGGTTATTTACCTGTTTTTAACGCTCTGTTGGGTTTACCCTTGAACCCTAGCACAGACCTTCGACCCTGTCAATACAGTATTTTAATTCTAGTTTAAATCTAGTTTAAATACCAATTAAAATGGCAAATTGACCCTCCCATCTCTCCCACCCTTCCTCTCAAAAAAGATGATCACTTCCTCGTTTGACTTAATTAATAAAAATGTTGTTAAAAGATAAACTTGATTCTTAAACAATAATCTAAATTTTACCAATTTATTTGAAGCGCAATACACTCAGTTCATTTTTAACTGTTCTGAAATAAGAAATATTTTTATTGCCTTATTTTTTTTGATTTTGGAAGAAATATTTTTTTTTTTTTTTTTATCCGTCATTTATCGGTGGTGAAGCGTAAATATCGGCCGTTATATCCGGTTTTCATAATATGCAGAGGAGGATGATAATTACAAAAACAGATGTATTTGCACTTAATTTCCTTCTTTTCCTCTACTGTTGCTTCAATCTGCAAATTGATGCAATAATGTTTAGAATCAGATCGAAGAAAAATAAATCAAAAAGTTTTGCTCACACAAAGGTTTAAAACCTTTGTGAATTTTGACACAGTTCCTTAAAATAAATCAACAAAAAAAATGAAGAAGGGTTTAGATTGATGATCAACATGTGGATATGAGTGCGCAACTAGCTAGTTCCGTTACTTTCATTATGCTTTTCCTCATATTAGGAAACACAAATAAAATTAATTGTCAAACTTACAGAATCCTGTGTTTTTTTTTTCAAACAATTATTTGTTTCAAAATTGTGCAATGTGCAAGTTCAATATTTGATATATTGAATGCAGCGGACCTTGAAAACTTTTCGTTAAATTATTTAGAAGCCGTTTTCCAGGCGGCTTCTTTTATTTTTGTTCACATTAAGATCTTTGCGTTAAATATGTGAGGTTGGTTTCATAATAAATAAAAATTGATTAATTTTGGAAAAACCGAAAAAAGGTAAATCATTTAAAAATGTTTTTAAAATTTTGTAAAAATATTTGCTTGGTTTTAACATCATATGATATATGATATAATATGTGTATAGTATATATTTTTTAATTCTCGAGTACATATCGTAATAACCATCCGCAATTAAAGTGATCTATTTAAAAATTGTATAGATAAGACTAAAAATGTGCTCTGAAAAAGAAAAAGAAATATCTCATGTTATTTCATAAAATATTTTTTTTGTATACGATGGTAAGCGATTATATCAATATATTTAATACGACTTTCAAAATTTTGATTCATGTCAAGCTTTTAAATACAAAAAAACATCTAAACAAAGAGAAGCTGTCAATTAAAAAAGTTTCTCTTTATTTACTTGTTGACTTATTATTCGAAAAATCTTGTTAAAAAATAAAACTTGAATTATTTATTATGTTGATATAATTGCCAATCATCGTATCATAGATTCTTTTTTGTCGGAAAACCCAGTTTTTACTTTAATGATCTAAAACCATATCTTATGATCGAGTGTATGTCTACACGGGGTTTGGGTTGACGTAATACGGTTTACAGAAATATCGGATTGAAATAAAAATAATAATTGTTTTAAGACCAACATGTTTTTACGTTTTAGAGAAAACTCTCTTAAAGTTTTCATTTCAGTTTTTGATATTTTTTTCTCTTGAATTTGTATTCTCCATCTCCGTATTCCTCTCTTTCCCCTCCAACCCTCTTCCCTTCGTTTTTGTCCCTGCACGTTTAGACCCTCTCATCCGTATCCTTTACTTCCGTATTCATGCCAATACCTAGTTAAACACCCAGGGGGGGAGGGGTAGAAAGGGAG